TTGTGATCCACTACTGCCCCAATGTGTGTCACTGCACAAACTATAAATAAAATACAAATAAATTGTAAATTAGAATAATTTTATAACATTTTCCTTCTATATTTTACCTATTTTTTAAAAAAATGTATAAACATATCACTAAACATTAAAATGTTTAACAGTAAAAACCTGTAACTGTAAATAACCATAAAGAAAGAGATGAAATATTTGGCATAAAAAGATTTGCTGAGACACACTGGCAAATTTATAATAATTGCACAAATATTCCCTTTTTACTTAATAGATGAAACTGTTCATGCTTTAATACTGTAATTATATTTCTAAAATTGAACACAATTATTGAAAGTTAACAGAAAAAGAAGTTTGATCTGTAGCTGTACATAGATTTGTTTGCTGAATGGGAGTTATCTTGTATAAGACATTTTGGTGAATTATTGTGTTTTAATCAGTGTATATCTATAACCATTAGCAAGTTTTATCATAAAATATATATAAACTATTCTATCTATCTATCTATATATGCATCTATCTATCTATCTATCTATCTATCTATCTATCTATCTATCTATCTATCTATCTATCTATCTATCTCTATGTGATAGCAGCATTTTTTGACAGTTTGTTCTTTACAGTGCATGATATTGTGAGCCTTTTTGTATCCCCTACAATCCTATTACCGCCTGTGCATGTGTGTCTTTCCTCTACCTCATAAACAAAAAGGTATGAGTGTGAGGTGTGAGCAGAATGACGCCTGGGTGACATCTGCCTGGCATGAAACTGTAGAACACGGCTGCTGTTCCTGTTTCGTGGCTGTTACAAATGAGTGCTTGTCGGAGAGTCATCACAGAGGGCGCCGATCTGCTTTACACCGGCGCATGAAAAATTAAACACTAAATCCTACCAATGTGAGAAACAGCACTCAACACTTTAGTCACGCCATCACGACTCCTCACAGCTGTGCCACATTTATATGCGACTCCATGTCTGCCATCTGTACGGACGCAGCAGGATGACACCAGCACTTAAAAATAACTTTAATCAGTATAACAGACTTCTTTATAGTCACTTTGTTATAACCCGCCCTTCTCTCTTTCTGTTTTCTCTAATAACAAGTTAAAAAATGTGGAAATTGCTGGTTAATGTTTATGTCAGAGTCTGAAAGTGGCCCTACTGTATGAACAAGTCACCGGGGAGGCAACACTTGTGTAGAATAATGTGTCGGAGGAAAAGCACGCCAGGTAGAGACAGAAGGTGTTTCCATCGCTCCGCGGGTTGCCATGACAACGCCACGGTGTTGCTATGTGACACTGAACAGACCCCTCGTTGTAACGGTCCCTCTGATCTGCAGTCGCAAGTTTTGTCAGAATATTTCCACCACTTTAAAAACATCTATGCGCCCGCATACCAACACCGAGGAGGCCGAAGGTGTAGTAAAGCTGTCACACTTGTTTTCTTAAGCTTTTTTTGTGCATATATGGTGTTTGTGCAAATGTATTATGCATCATAGTATACATTACCCACCACTGATATGTCTGTCATCTCTCCTACCAAGCTACAACAAAAAAAAACGCAGATTTTTGTTGGCTGCCATTATGTTACATTTTTCTATCGTTTACATTTGCTGTGAATTCTGTAATGAAGTCAGAGAAACGTCACTGGTCTCATTTCTTTTGGCAGAAAACTTGTCAGATGATCTTTAATAATAATCTGTGAAAGCTTTTTTTGTGGAAATGTGTCAAACTTCAAGCTCTCAAGTACATCATTATCAGTTAGTCACAATTTTACAAAACTGTTCTTCTCCTTTTTGAGGATTTTTCCTTTTGAAACATTCCCCCTTGAGACAGAACTGACTTCATTTTAAAGATGATACGAACAAGATTTTCTTAAAAATTAACCAATTATATCTGTTCATAAGTAACTAGAATCTAGTCTAAAACAAGCACTGAACACTGCTAACTTAGCATGAACATTTATGTGTATGCTTACATGTGCATACACATTTCAATACTGAATAAATGAATTTGTACATAAAATCTTGTTTAATGAATCATGCTTGTCTCATCCTCTCATTAAGAGCTGCACGTTTGAGCACATAAAGCTCCTCTGTAATGTTGTGGGACGTAGAGAAGACTAGCTGTGTCCGGCATGTAATTAGATGGTAGGTGAAAGTTTGCACAAAACTTCAACATGCTCTTTAGTTCTTCAAGAGCTTTTGATGGATTTCTTGGCTTGAAATGTTTGCTGCCAAAAGTGTGTCTGAGTTTTTTTAACCTGACAAATTTGTTTCTTTTACCTCCTGCATTCAGCTTTTTTTAATTTGTAACCTACATACAAACAAGCATATGTAGAGCTGTCTACTGTAAAGAATTATAAGTTTTTTTGTTGGTGGAATCAAACACCTATTTTCCTATTGTTTTGTTAGACTTTTTCTGAGTGTTTCTTGTCAAGTATTTGAAATGTACTCTCATGTTTTTTCAGCATTCATCATTTCCTTTTTAATTCTCTAACCAGCCTCTACATATTTCTATAATCTCTACCTAAACTCGCTCCCACATAGGGTCCATTTGACCAGCCTGGGGCGTTTAATGCGTCCTCACACACAGCCATATGCTCAGGTTAGCCTGTGTCACACCTTACAGTCGCCACCTTTATACTTTCCCCAATTTCTGTGCAACATCTGCAGACCTCCCAGATTCATAGTGTCGATAAGGACACTGATAAATGATCATAATGACCACCAGTATGGCAAAAAATAGATTCTAGATCTTGTTGAGAAAAAGTCGGCAGCATTCCTCCGGACTCTTTGGCATGTCTGGATTCTGTCGCCGTGGAAACTAGGCGGACTCCCTTCAAAGGCCAGCTCTCATCGGGGGAGACAGTGGCACGGTCATGTCAAAATCACCAGACGACTGAGAAAAGGTCAAAGGGCAGAAAAGATCCAAAGAGCCACTGATGGAGTGGACACTAAGGATGTGGTTTAGGATGTGAATTAGAAAAACTACAGATAAGTTGGCATTAAGCTGGGACCAAGATCATATTTGAACCTGGGTGGGGAGTTTGGTTGAATACAAGTGGATTAAATCTGAGATGGAAACAACTGAATACAACAAGTAGGAACTCAGAGTAGCTGCTGAAAATCTTATTAATGACCAGTGGAGCAAAGGAAAACTCCTCAACCTTGCAACTGCAAAAATACACAAGTTGAATTTAAATACAGTCCAAAAATGTGAAATAAATGGATTTTACCTCCGCAGAGTTGACCTATGAGGACAAGTATTGTTTTAAAGTTTGTTGAGGGGGCTGTTTACATTCTGTGCTTCTGTTTCTCACCGAATGTGACGCTTTCCTGCGTCATCCTCTAACTTGACATCATTGCACCATTAACGAGATTTTTCTTATTATTATTATTTTAGAATTTATTTTGTGTCAGTGCCTTTCAGTAATGCCGGAATGACAAGAATGTTCTTATTAATACCAAAAGGAGGGCTGTGTACACCAGTGAGTTAGCTTAGAGGTGACAAAAATACTTCACACACTTGTAAAAAAAAAAAAAGAAAAAAAAAAGCTAGTGTTCACACATTTCGTTTTTTTTTTCTCGTCACTCATCATCATCATTATCAAGGAGTCTGTGCCAGTCATGGCTGTGTCAGTATGCCCTAAAATAACGTGCATATCTGTGTCATGCAGTTATATTATTGGTCATATTACCCCGTTTGCGGTCGAACTTTGGCATGATGTGACATTGTAGTAAGGTTTAAAGAAATGATCATATATGACTACATGGTCTTGCAAAGACTGTTTCACCCTGCAATGCAGATACAACTAATAATTGGGGTTAAAAAGAAAAAAAAAAGTCCAAACTCTGTGTGGCATCCAGTATGGCTCCCTCTTATGGACAAAATAACAAGTGCTAGTATGTGAATTGTAGATTTTTATTTGCGCCATCAGAGCTTTTATTCAAAGTCCCATCTGCATGGATGGCATGTGAGCGCTTAGTGGACAAATTTCACCTTAGCCTCAGCCACAGTTAAAAAATAATGCACATAAAGCTTAATTAGAAGCTTAGAAATCAACACTAGTATACTACAAGGTATACGTTGAGTAGTAAAGTCATAAATATATAAAAAAGACACTATTCTGTATTATACTGTATCTTGGAAACATTCGAATGTGTCAGAAAACTGGGACCAGAACACCAGACATATTAATAACAAATTCCAATTTAGCATGTGGTTTTGTACTAATCAGCAAAGTACAACTGCAAAGAAATGTTTAAGGGTCATTTGTATTTTGGTTGTTTTATTCTTCTTGAGTAAAATTTAGATTTACGTGAGACATGCAAAATGTGAGAAGTCTACCTAGTTCAGTCCATTAGTAAAATGATATTGAAACATCTTAAATCCAAGAGAATTGTGATGCTGAACATCACATTAAGTTTTGTTGCTGTTGCCATTGTTAACATCTCTCCTCTTTATGTTTTGGAAAAGATAGGAGATTATTTAAAATAAATAGTAATTTTTGTTTAAAGAAAAGTTGTATCAAACAAGTGTATACGGTCATATTATTCATCATGGTTGTCAAGAATATTTTATACAATAATGGAAAAATATTTAATCATTTATTTAAAGCCATACAATTATCAAGCCCAAGCTACCCTTTTAATATATTTTGGTTGATTTTGTTGATTTCAGTAACAAAAAGAAATAAAAGCTGGCAGATTTGTGTCTGCCTATAACAATGCTACATGACACAGCCTAAGTGCAGCTGACTGAAATTGTTGCTCACAAGTCCATTGTGTAATTCCCATGTATACCCAGCAGAGGACAACCATGTGCAGCCTCTTACAGCCTGCAACTTTGCAAATATAGTTGTGTACTTCAGGCACTTCAAGCTATTCATGATATTGCAAGAACTGCTAGCATACCATCAGACAAGATGCAAAAACACCTGCAGCTTTACCTTATGTCTTGTTTTCTCTATCCTCCATACAGGCCTCGGCCATGCCTCCCTTCCCTACCTCCCTCTTCCTGACACTGCTTCAGCTTGCAGTCCTTACGTGTGTGAGTGGCGGAGCATACTACGGACACAAACAGCACCCTCAGCAATACCAGCCAATGCAGCACATCCAACACATGGGCATGGGCAAAGAAGGCTTTCCTCAGCAGCAGTATCTTGGCAAAGAGATGCCCTACATGCAGTATCCCCACTACAGGAAGGAAATCCCCCAGATGCCAATGCACAAGGGCAAAGAAAATCCTCGCAAGGGTGGCAACTACAATGGCGGCCAAGAAAAGGGTGAGAAAGTCAGCATGTTAACAGACAAAAGCCAATAATCATCAAGAACCCATATATTCAGATCGAGAAAATGTGACATTACCTGCATAAACATGACAAGTGCTAAAATGCGTTCTTTTGTTTAATAGAATATACGAAGTGGTTTGTTCAAGTGTTTTTATACCCAACTACACCTCAGTTGTCTGTGCTTTCCCAGTTTGCAACTTCATAACAAAATGTCCATCCATGTATTTTTTTTATTTCTATTATTTATGATTTCTGCTTTAATATTCATCTAATTCCTCTCAGGTCAGACGGTCCCGAGTGGTGCTGAGGGAATTCCCCAAGGAGAGCAAGGCCCAGCTGGACCACCTGGACCAGAGGGACCTCAAGGACCTCCAGGGCCACCAGGGAATGGACAGCCAGGACCAGCCGGACGACCTGGACCTCCTGGCCCACCAGGAATGCCTGGAGTGGGAAAGCCAGGTTTACCAGGACTGCCAGGCAAACCAGGAGGAAATGGTGAGGCTGGGCCTCAAGGAGAAATGGGCCCCAGGGGTGAAGAAGGGCCAGCTGGGCAGCCAGGGCCTCAAGGTCCCCCAGGACCACCTGGGCTTCCAGGAATAGGTAAACCAGGAGTCCAGGGATTGCCAGGCCAACCAGGGCCCAAAGGAGAGCCGGGTCACAAAGGTCTGCCAGGACTACCAGGATTACCAGGGCCCAAAGGAGACAAAGGGATGGGGCAACCAGGACAACCTGGACACAAAGGGCTCCCTGGGCCCCCTGGACCTGCTGGGCCAAGAGGGCTGCCTGGTTTTGGAAAACCTGGATTGAATGGGGCACCTGGTCCACAAGGACCACCAGGAGAGAAAGGACATCCGGGAGAGCCAGGAACGGCTGGACCACCTGGTGAAGGAGGACAGCCTGGCCCACCAGGTCTACCTGGTCAAGGAAAGCCAGGTCAAAATGGCCTGCCAGGACAGCCAGGCATGCCAGGTGCAAAAGGTCATCCAGGACCACCAGGTTTGCCAGGAAAGCCAGGACTGCCTGGATTTGGTAAACCAGGACTTCCTGGACCAAAGGGTGATAAAGGTTTGGGTGGACCACCTGGATCTCCAGGACCTAAAGGAGATAAGGGGCATGGAGGACTACCAGGTATGCTTGGACCCCCTGGAAATAATGGTCAACCAGGTCCTCCAGGCCCTATGGGACCCCCTGGAGGTATAGGTGCACCTGGTCCTAAAGGAGAATGTGGAGAAGGAGGACCGAAAGGGCTTGATGGAACTCAGGGTGAACCTGGTCCTCCAGGAATGCCCGGCAAGGATGGTCTGCCAGGAGATGTTGGAGAGCCAGGACCAAGAGGTCCACCAGGCCCAAGTGGTGGCAAAGGGAACGATGGGCATAAAGGTCTACCTGGTACCCCTGGTTCTCCAGGACTTCCTGGTCCAAAAGGACAAAGTGGATTACCTGGTGAAGTGGGACCTCAAGGTCCTAAAGGAATCCCAGGAATGGATGGTGCAGCGGGACCAATTGGTCCTTCTGGTCTTCCTGGGCCAAAAGGAGATAGTGGCCTTCCTGGCCCACCAGGTATTGTAGCTGAGGGGAGTCCAGGACTACCTGGTCCCATAGGACCCCCAGGAAAAGAGGGCCCAGCAGGACCTACAGGACAACCAGGTCGGCCTGGTCCACCTGGACCACCAGGCCAACCTGGCGCACCTGGTCTATCTCCTGAAATGGCAGGAGTGCTTTCTGAGATGGGCCCAGGGTTGGATGGTGTTAAGGCTGGAAGTTATGGCAAGAAGGGCAAGTATGGAGGCAATGGAGCAGAAGTAATGGGTCCCAGTGGGCTTGAAATGCCAGCATTCACAGCAGTAGCAACAACTCCCTTTCCACCTGTGGGCACTCCAGTCGTCTTTGACAAGCTCTTGTACAATGGTCGACAAAACTACAACCCTGAGACAGGAATTTTCACTTGTGACATGCCTGGCATTTATTACTTTGCCTACCACGTTCATTGCAAAGGAGCTAATGTGTGGGTGGCTTTGATGAGAAACAATGAGCCGGTAATGTATACATATGATGAATACAAAAAGGGTTTCCTAGACCAAGCATCAGGGAGTGCAGTATTGCCTCTACAACCTGGGGACACTGTGTATGTTCAGCTGCCCTCAGATCAGGCCTCAGGACTTTATGCTGGGCAGTATGTGCATTCCTCCTTTTCTGGGTTCTTGTTATATCCGATGTAAAACCACAAACTGCAGGGAAAGAGAGGCTTCAGTGAGAGCTTATTTTTTTATCAAATAAAACATGATCATAAATTACCTTAGACTTAACAGTCTTTTAATGTAAAGTCAACAAACCGTTGATCTCATCAACAAAGATGAGAAGACAAAGTAAAATATTTCAAGGAAAACATGAAATCTGATGGCCTGTATGTACTGCAGCTTTTATACTGTAAAGCCATAGTGTCGTTTAAATTGGGAGAGTAAAGCTTTTTTTTTTTTACAGATTGGAAAATATAAAGAAATGCCCAGGAAGCATACAAAGAACACCTCAGATGGCTCCAGATGTATTTTCATACACAAAAATACTAGAAGCTATTAAGAGAGCAATTTCTTATTAGGTGAAAACAGATGAAGGGAACAAATGTATGCAAAAGAGGATAAAACATTTCGTACAATGCTAATTACACTATTGCAGCAGTGTCAAATTTAGTCTCTGAATGTCTTCAAAATTGGCAGCTACCCCATGTGGTAAATAATGTGAAAGATGGTAGAAAACATGAAGACAGTAACTATTGATCTTGATAGGAAATGTATATTTTTGCATGCATACCTTTGAATGGAAACAGTTTTTGTTTCTTAAATGATAACAACAAGAGAGAATGACAATGCAGGTTGGTGCAAGGTTTGCATTACAGCAGTTTGTACATGTTTGGTGTTTTTAAAGGTAAACATATGTTTGGTTGAGTAGTCTGTAAAAGTTTCAGTCTGAGTTTTGGCAAAAAGATTTTTCTAAATTTAATTTCCAATGGACCAATATCTAAAGCTGCCCAGTAGATTTTCAAAAAATAAATAAATAAATAAAATCTGCAAAATGCTGTGTAAGAGTGAACAAAATGGCTTTCAGTTACGTATACAAGATGAAAGGTTCTAAAATAAAGAATTGTGTGAAGGAGTTGCGTATATCATGGACACCTTTTGTTGATATTTAATGGAAATGTACTCTCCTGTAGAAGAATGCAAAACGTAGGTGGTCAAAATGTAACTATCAAGAACATCAGCAAGTATGATGCTGACTGACAACTGCTCTCAAGTGAGACTGAAAGAGTAAGAATGTGACAATAATTATATGTTTTAATGTTTGCAGATAGGTTTGTGGGTGTAATGCTGTAAAGAAACCATATGTTCAAAAACAGACAATTCAACATAACACACTCACGCATGCTCTGAGTTATGAAAACCACTCAACACAATACATTAAATTATACAGACACAGGTGACACGCACCTTGCATGTGACATGCACCTTGCATGTGAACACACGCTTGTATAATAGTACAAAATAATACTCCACAGGAATTAAGGAGTATTTACTGCAATTAGAAGGCAAATCTCTCTTTTTAAACAATGACTCTGCATTCGACTACTTTCATTTCAACTCAAAATCATTGTAGAAATAAATTTTTACCTGTTATCCTTTTTCTTTACTCCTTTAATTTAAAATTCTGTAACTGTTTTGTAAGAGATGATTACAAATTAAAATCACATCTACATACTCCATTTTAGCTGTAATGGCAGCCTATTTATAAGAGGATGTCATATATGGAAAACAAATTGTAATTTTCCATTTTTAAGTGGAAATCTTTAACAGTGGGATCTGTTTCGAAGTGAGACAACCAAATCAAGTTTCAACGTGTCCCTGATGTGCTTTATTTAGTACATTGTGCTGTATTACAGTTAATGGACTGGAACCAGGTACTGAATGTTGCAGCAGTTCAACAACAATTCTGTCAGTAATTTATTATTTTTAATGCTGATCACCTACACGCAATGAAGAGGTCATAAAAACCTTTAAGGACAAGTAACCATGGTGCTGATATTGTCATTGTAACCAAATAATCTGTGTATTAATGTTTCAAGTGTGTTATTATTGTCTGTGATGTTTTTTCTAAATAAAAATTGTTTAATTAAAAAAAAATTGTCATTGACATCATCTTGAATTTTACAGAAAGCAAATCAAACCCACTAACACAAAACTGCCTGATGAAATTCACTGTGGAGGTTCAGCAGATATAAGAAGATGTTACCAAGCTCACTGGATGATACATTTCTTGGTCACATTTTTAGTAAAGTACAATATGCTCACCTAAAATTGACCTTGATAACATTTCCCTGTGCAAGACAGCTCAATACTAATAATATTTTTAACATGTCAGAGGCTGATGTTCAAAGCATCCTCTCTATGATAACTGCATTAATTGGTTGGGCCACATTTAGGCTAAAATATGTCATAGAACACATGCACAGTTGGTTAGTTTTATCCTTGTCGTGGAGGTAATCATGATAAATATGCCATCATTGATAGGTTAGTAAGTAATTTCAAAAGCTTGAAATAGTCTTATTTTCCTCAAATCAGGTTTCAGCACTGAGACAGACTGAGACAGGCAGTGTGGGAGATGCTTTGGATTTTTGAAGGACCACAAATAATTGGATTTATATTGTACAAAAAAGTCTTCTTATTCGTAGCTCATGGTATAAAATTTAAGACAGCAGCTCAGAATCACAGAGCTCCAGGCTTGTGTGTCAACTGGTTTATGCTATTTTAGTTGAAGTTGTGTGGCAAAAATTCACAACTGAAGCACAGTATTAACCAACATGGTAATGAACACTGTTACTGTGGTGTATATATATTATTAGTCTGACTTCAAACTTAATGTCACTGGAGTTGCCACCCTAGAAAATGCCCTTTAATGACAGGTCTTAATGTTAGTATTTGTCTTGAGGTCTTATTTGGAAGAGGCTTGTCTTGTAAGTATATTCCTAAATAAAGGAATTTATTTACATCAAAAAATACTGTGATAGACAAATCAAATATAACTGTAACCACTGCTCATAGAAAGGAAAAAGAGGGTTAACGGGGGCTCAGCAGGTTATTTCTGCCCTGTACGATCCCATAGCAAGTTCGTGCATGCTCAGTAGCCTCAATGCAAACACAGTAATGTTAAAATCATACAATACATCGCCTCTGACAGGATGATCCATTCAGGAAATGATGCTGTCCTCAGAGATGAGCTGGGTGTGTTGTGAGGACAGATGCTGATGCTGCGGTGGGAGGGGCTTTTGTTGGACTGTACGCATGCGCAGAGCTGTTTGAGATGCTCATTCATCACATCTGCTGTTGATAGAAATTTAAACAACGACTCGACCAGACGTGAGGAAATAAACAGTGTCGGTAAGGTGATTTCGATTTAGTGTCACAGTTTGTTGTCACTGCTGAAGATTAAACGACGGCAACCAAACATATAGTAGAGATATACAGATGTATACTGTGTTTTCAAATATAATGCTGAATGAGGCTTGCTAGCGACGACAGCTAACGCGCTAGCCTTCTTTCAATCAGTACAACAGCCCAAATAATCCGCCTAAAATTAGTCATTTTCTGTTTAAATAGCTGCTTGCATCATGGTATGAGAATAAGACAACGGTTTCTCTTATAATGGCGGACTCTTTGTCAATATTTACCTACTTTATTTCCTCTCTTCTCTCGGTGTCCTTATGTTACACCTGCCCCATTGGTCCTTAGTCTCATATTGGGATATGAGCAGATTACAGATGTTAAATGTGACAAAACTGGGACAAAAGGTGGGCCAATTAGTTCGTTTTTCTTTTAGGGGAAAAATAATCGGTACTTATTTTGATAAGTAATTAATTGTTTTACCCATTTTCATGCCAAATGTGCAAACATGACATAATTCCAGCCTACATTTGCTTTGTTCCTCCACAGCTCTTACTTTAACTGTCTTTAAATCAGCAACTAATGAATATTTCTGTTATCGATTAATCTGTCGATTACTATCTTGGTTGATCAATTAGTTGTTCAGTCTTTAAAATGTCAGAAAACAATAAAAATGTCAATCTCTGTTTCCCAAAGCCCAAGATGATGTCCTCAAATAATTAGTTATGTCCACAACCCAAAAGGATTCGATTCAGTCTCATAGAGGAGTAAAGAAACAAAAGAATGTTCAAATTTAAGTAGCTGGAATCATAATCTAAAAAAATTTTTAAAAATGTTATTTTATTTCTTCTAAAATGTTACTGAAATCACTTGATTGATTTTCAGATTAGTTGGTGATTAGTTTAATAGTTGTGGCACTACTTTGAATTTTCTTTCATGTCGTTTGAGTTTTGATTATTCATGTAAAATCTGAAGATGTTACTATGTTAGGAAATTCTAATTGGCATGTTGTCATGGTTTTCCAACATTTTGTTGTTCAACATTGATGAATTAGTGATGAAAATAAGTGTTAGTTGCAGCCCTACTTGTATCAACTCACTTGTTTTGTATGTCAGCAGGTTTATCTCAACATGACATCTCGCGTTGGCCCTCGAGCTGCTGGTACTAATGGCAGTGACTTCAAACACAAAGAGAGGGTGGTCCCACATTACCAGATGAGGCAAGTTACTGTTGTATCTATGTCTGATATGGGTCATTAAATTTGAATGTTGTCTCTAAATCTCTGCTTTCCATTTTGCAGTGCTTCCCTGAAGTCTGAGGTGCGGAAGTTGAACTTGGTCCACCTTCTGATCTGGCTGCTGGTGGCTGCACAGATGGCTGTCAGCCACTTCAACCTGGTGTCACATGACACAGTGTCCATGCCGTACCAGTGGGAGTACCCCTACCTGCTCAGCCTCCTCCCTCTGCTCTGCAGCAGCCTGTCACTACCAAAGAACAATATCAGCTACCTGGTCATATCCATGATTAGTGGAGGGCTGTTCTCTGTGGCACCTCTTATTTATGGTGGTATGGAGATGTTTCCTGTAGCACAACAGCTTTACCGCCATGGAAAAGCCTATCGCTTCATTTTTGGCTTCTCTGCAGTGACTGTAATGTACCTCATCATGGTGGTTGCTGTTCAAGTGCACGCCTGGCAGTTATATTACATGAAGAAACTATTAGACTCGTGGTTCAATGCCACTCAGGAGAAGAAGAAGAAATAATAGAGTAAAGAAAGCTTTGATTGGGCAAAACTGTGTTTTTATTTTAATTTATACATGAGGTATGAGTATTATTTATGTCAACTTATTCAGCCATCATTATTATGTAACGTCATGCATTAGAAACCGGTGTTCTCTAACACTGAAAGGTAAACTACAATGTGATGTCAATTTATGCATTATCCTAGATTCCTGGATCACGATTATTTATTTAAAGAAGACCATAATTGTTGTTTAGAAGACACAGTCAGATGACTGTACTATGAAGCAAGATGGGTTAGCAAGATATGTTTTGCCTTAAACCAGTGTTTTCAGTGTCATAAAGGTGGCTCTCCTTTAACCTGGATAGTATACTATGGTAACTGATGCTGCACAGCCTACCTGCTGTGGAGAAGGTTATGGCCAGAGTTTGGTGTTTAAATTAGTTGTAAGAAGCATCACCCTTTCACTAAGTCTTTTCCTGACCATATTCTTTATAGGTGATGCAGATTCTCAGCTGAGGAAATATGTTATATATGTACACCTCTTGCAGGTAAACCTTTATGACACTGGTAATGGCACTAAAGAGGCCATGCAGGCAAAACTGCATTGAGATACTGCAGGAACCTAAATGCATTCAGTTGGTGATGCTTAATCCTAATTTGCACATCATATGTACATTATGTGTAGAAAAAGAGTCAAATGACACAAACACCCCATTTTATGGGAATGTGCACTGAGCCAGATGAAATAAAATCCAGACTTAACGAAGAAAATTGATACCACTATAGTGATATTCATCATCTCAGAGTGGGATATTAAGTTTTGTTATACCAACTTACACAAAGAAAGCCTGGCTATGTTGAATTTGCTTTTTAATACACTACAAGATAAGGCTGTAATCTCTTTCAAAATGTTTCCATAATTTAAACAGAATAGATCAAGAGGTGAAGGCATGAACTGTTCCAACAAACATATTTTGCTTAGAAATTTGTTCTTGTATGTTTTAAAGGAAGTAGATTTGCTTTTGCTACAGATGTGCTGATGCTGTCTCCTTCATTAAGTCTACCTCTCATAATATTTTTTTGTAAATGCAGTTAAGCAATTAAAGAAAGGTGTTGATATCTGCCTCCACTGTTGTTGTTATCATTAATATTATAATTATTAGAATCATAATAATTATTATCATTATTATTTGTACTTTCATTCAGTTCCAGAAGTACAGCTTAATTATATGAGCTATATCAAGAATAAAATATAACGAATGCTCTTCAGCTTGTTAAAATGTTAAGGTTGATCTACAATTACGGAGTCACTTTGCTCCACTTCTGCGCCTGCGCGTCGTGAATGCCACGTACTGGTTGACGTTGACAGTCTGGAGGGCACTTCCTGATGCTGCTGCCCGGCTCTAGCTAGGCTAGTTAACACATTACACTTTCACGGTTTGGGGAAACCTGTGAAATACAGCGTGGTCAAGTCGTCTGATTCAGGTAATAGACGCTCTCAGATTTGTTGTCCAGTTGTATTACGAGTTACCTTTGACCATACAGCAGTTTGTGTGCTACCACTGTCTGACTGATATGCTGCTAGTTAGCATGCTATGTAGTTAGCGCTAGCTGGCTACGCAGGGAGCTAATGCTATGCTAGCTCGCCCAAACAGGTGTCGAGACTGATTCGTAGGAACTTACTGACCAAAACATGCACTAATTTGCGAAAAACTTGTAAAAAAGGCGAGGTCGAGACTACAATAAGTTAAGATTACGCCACTTTAGGTAGCTCTGAGTGTCCATTAAAAGTAGCTATCACAAGTTGTACATGAATCCATTTTAGCCGACGTTTCAGTTTAAAGTAAAACGAAACCAGGCTATCTTACTGCAACTGTCTCAGCTGTACAATAGAAAATTGAAAATATCGTTGATTTTTACTTAGCTCGTGCTGTCTATAATGTCGCCATTGACATAACAGTATTGAAACGGCCTAACAAACGTTAGCAGTCAGAGTGAATTGCTGTTAATGGGCCACTGACAGATGACTCTGCGATTGAGTGTCTCTCACAATCAGCGCCAGCTAAGTCACCCTTTAGTGGCGTTTCAAATGTCTGATTTCGATGCCCCAGAGATTAATTTCGTGCAGCTAATCTCAGTGGAAATCAGTTTGCTTGTCGTCGCTATTCAACATCACTGCATGCTAAACGTTAGCTACCACACAATCCCTAGCATCCAGCCAATTATTCATCTGGCTAGGACAGTCAAAGCCGTAGCATTTCTGGAATTAAATTCACAGTAGAGTAACGTCCAGCTTACAACATCAGCAGGTAGCGTCATAGTTAATCCAGCTGGGGATACACACGAGCACTGATCACAGACTACCATGTTTATATGTATGTAATGCTGCAGTGTCAATGCAGGTCTGGGATTGTAAACAAAATCAATGAGATTTTGTTTATCCAGCGCGCAAATGGTCATATTCTGATTGATAATTACATCATATGAGCTCATAAGAATCACTGAATACAGCTGAAAGCTTTCTCTTATCAATATGGGTGATTTTTTTGGGTCAAAGTCTATAACGAGGTCGGTAATAGGGCACCACACACCCTGCCACTTCACCAGGTGATGTTTGACCCTTAGACTCTACAGTTAAATCAAACTGTCTGATATTGTTACCAAGGGAGACTGTTTGATTAAATCATTAAAGTTAAGAGAAAGTCTTTCCTCTTTGTCGTTGTCAGGATTTCTATAATCAAGGCAACACAGTTACAGCAAAGAGGAGCAGCTAATTTCAGCATAATCTCATCATTCTTGTTCATCTAACAAACACATTTTAATCAGAAATAAGTCTCCCAGCAGTCATTTCCCCTGACCTGTTAACCTACTTACATGCACAGTATCTTATCAGAGTCCTCATTTAGCTATCCTTATAAAACAATTTGATGTATCATGTGTTTTACTCTCTAAGATGGATCTACATGTAATTGGAAACAACTGTGAACTTTTAGCATCAAGTACAGTATATGTCATTATTTTAACTAGTAGTCTAGTGGTGCGGCTGATGCTACAACATGTAGAGTGTTTTTTTTTTTACAAACAATGCAAGAAGTTTTGTCAGTTGCCTTGCATTATGTTGTGTTACATAACGGGCCAAAGTACTTCCACACATCAGACTTGACCAAGCGTCCAAGCTTTACCTGAATTTACCTTGTTTCTGAAAATAGAGTTTCGCTGAATTTACAGGAGTTGGACTAATACATTCCTCAGCTGGCAAACAGTGTACTCTGGTGGTGCTCAAAATTCAGTTCAAAAGTACATATCATGATGACTGTCATGTCACTATTTTTCATATTACTGCTACTTATTCAGTTTCCTCCACAAATTCTTATTCAATCCCTAGAGTGGCTTATGCTGTGAAGACAAGGACATTTTCAATAACCTAATAATTTAGAAAAGATTGAAGTTATTTGTGACCTCTAAATTGTGTCATTACCCACACTCTGTTTTGTACAGTCCTGCCTGCCTAAATAAGTGCATATTACTGTACTTTTTTTTTTTAAAGGTATTTTGTTTGTTTTACTTACAGAATAGGTTTCAAATTGACATTTAGAAAGAGAGAAAAACTGTGACAGCAGGCATGTTGTTTTCTTGGCTCTATAACTATAACTACATCTCCTCTGCATCCGTTAAGTGGTGGGAGCAGAAGAGGTCGGACGGCACCATGAACGGCCAGCTGGACCTGAGCGGGAAGCTGATCATCAAAGCCCAGTTGGGCGACGACATCAGACGCATCCCTATCCATAACGAGGACATTACCTATGATGAGCTGGTGCTGATGATGCAACGTGTCTTCAGGGGCAAGCTGCAGAGTAACGACGAGGTTACCATCAAATACAAGGATGAAGGTGAGTCAGGACACAGGCAGTGGCTCGGATTCCCTCTGTGTTAGTTGCTCTCAGCTGTGAATATTAAGAAGTTTCCCAAGGTCTAGTGTGCAGTTAATGGTTGTAATCTCAACATATGCTTCTTGGGAAGTCATAATTTACTGAACAATTACACCTCTAGTCTCTCTTTTCCCGGTTTATAGATGATGACCTCATCACCATCTTCGACAGCTCTGACCTCTCCTTCGCCATCCAGTGCAGTAGAATACTCAAACTGACTTTGTTTGGTAAGACATTAAAGCCTTTTCCTTTCTGTTGTCCTTCCATAAGCATACAAGCAGTACGTGTGTTTAGTTTCAGCTGTTACAGCAGGCAGTCACTGGAGGGCAGTCCAGCTTATGTTTCACTCAACAAATCTCAGCTGTTCACTGTCCAAATAAAAGTTGTGTGCACTCCTTTTGCACTAACTTGGGGTGGAATTTCAGTGCGTCTCCTAGCACTGCTTCACCAAACAAACAGTGTGATAGATAGTAGAAGGACGTCTTCATAAAATCACACTGTGCCAGTTATACTGGTTGCTAATCTGAATTTTAAATATGTGCCACCCCACATAAGTCCACAGTTACTCACTGGTTCAGTAGCTGCATGACTTCAGGTTTAGCCCACAGAAGAAGTAATTACTCATGCCAGACAGCCAATAGGCCTCACCCTAAACATGTCAGTTGGGGCTTGGTTGCTGTCAGTAGAAATAAAGTTGTGTTGCAATTTCAGGACTAATTGCACAGAGTACATTACTGTGTCATACAGATTAGCTTTAAGAGTATAGAATGTTTTCTCTTTGGATTTTACTATTACTATGTTTATAACTTTGTTTTCACAGACATCACAATATGTTCCATTTAAAAAAACATATGCTATTAGTAATTTGTGTGTTTAATCAAAAATGGTTTATGTATCAAAGTTTTAAACTTAGACAAATATGGACAAAAAAGAAAAGCACCTACATGCAGTATTAATGTCGAGGCATATTGCTCATCAATAATTGAACTGTATTGATCAGATATGCTGCCTGGGTTTTTGTTTTTCATTCAGTTGCATGAGGCCACGTGTTCTGTACAATCTGAATCTGTTAAAATACTATAAGACTATATGAACATAGTCGTTTTCCTATTGCATATTCTAAATTTTGTTTTAGAGCCTTCTCTTTCCTGCCTGAAAATAAACACACACTCACTGTACTTTTGAATCTGTAATAACAACATGATGTTGTTCCCTTTGCTCTGCTCTCAGTTACCCTGTCGTCCTGCCACTGCTATTATTAGCCGTTTATTTTTTCTTTCTTTCTTTCTTTCTTTCTAAAAAAAAAAATACATTTTACTTCCTACAAATCAAAACTGAGTGCTGGCTCATCATCACATGTCATGACCTCACGTGGAAATTACACTCTCCAACATGTGTGAAGACTTAAAGGCAGAGAGAGTAGCTGGAATCTCATGGCGGCCTGCGTCTCAGCGCAGTGCCTCATGACCCCATGCGTCTCTGTTCAGCATTATCCACTCAGACAGAGAAACTTGTGTGAGAAAGGAATGTAGCGCGATCTCCAGTCTCACATTTATTCTTTTGCAGTGGAAATTTCGATCCTCAGTCAATTTGCAGCAGGAAGAAAAGCGTTGGAAATAGTTCGAGGTGCCCATGTGATGCAGGTCACATAGGGTTGAAGATTGTGCAGAACTGTGTCCTGTGTTTCCTGCACGTTAACAGGGTTCTGTGTCATGTCAATAAGTAGGTGCAACAAACCAGTGCCCTTTCTTCTAGTGTTGCCAACTCCACTATTAGTTAAATGCTTAGCTGGCAGGGTGTGGTGATGGTGATGGAGCTCACAGTTTCTGTTGATCTGGCTGCTGCTCTGAATGGCTCTGTGGAATCAACCGTGTGATAGATGATCCCTGTAATCCCAGGTATTTACAGTGTGGAGCCAACAGAATTGAGACAGATCATCATTCATAACATGCACCTATTTAGTGTAGCGCTACTAACTTTTCCAAACCATCGAAGCGCAAAATTCAGGCATCCACTGTGTTTATTTTACATTATGCTGATGTTACATTAATATGGAGTGTTGTATTGATCTGATAATCTGCTGAACATTTTGACTGTCAGTCATTATTTATTAGTGATATATTTCCAGTCCAATGATTTTGAATGTTTGCATAGAAGCCCCAACATTTTGCTGCAATATGAAGATCACATAACAGTGTATTGTTAGCTATTAGCCCGTTTAACACTTTTATTTTTAATCAGTCTGTAGGCACTCAAGTGTTTTTGGGGGTGTGAGCCTACGCTTCTTGGTATTCCTGCCACATTAAGGTTTGTTTTTCCATCTGCCGGGCTGTTGACACGTTCCTGCACAGTCTAAACAAGATATTCCAGAGTCAGTGGCTGTGACTCACATCTAGATCATAATCTGTGTCAACAAGCAGTTCAAGCTTAAGACGGCAAATGGGAAATGATTGTAATTAATGAGATATAGACTCAGCAGTGTGCTAAATTGTCCCTGTAATAAGGGTGTGAGCTACTAGGGGATTGCTGTATTCTGTAAAAGCGCACAAGAGTGTCGTTCTGTCCAACACCTGTCCTAAAATGAACACACAACCAGAGTACGCCATGCTGAGATGGAGAAGTGTTTGACTTTGCTGGACCCGTTCCCCAAATAAAAATGAAGGATTTGTTTGATTTGCTCACTTGGGGATCCCTCTTCTCATTTTATTATCTGCAGTGAATGGTCAGCCGCGGCCTTTGGAATCCAGTCAGGTGAAATATCTGCGCAGGGAGCTCATTGAGCTCAGGAATAAAGTCAACAACCTCCTTGATAGCCTGGAGCCCCCCACAGAGCCTGGTCTGGCTGCTACAGCACCGGATAGTGGTAAGCATGAATTAGAGCAGCTGATATTAGCTCATTGCAGATGTTGTCAGGTATGAAGCATGAAATTGCATTACAGAAACTCAACCTTACACTGTTGCATAGTTGTTTTCCACTGACAGGCTTTCCACAGTAAAATGTGCCAAATCTGTGTCTTTTTATAACATGCTGTAATAATATAAGGATTTCTTGTGATGTTTATGTGTTTGAAGTGAAAGACATTCGGCACTCAAATATCAATTTCAGTATTCAATTGAGTATGTTATTCATATAGTGTTAGATCATAACATGTCATTTCAGGCCACTTCACAGAGCAAGGTCAAGATCTTGCAGCTCTATAGAGACCTCAAAAATCCATTTCTTTGGGTTTCAGTGCATTTATACTTTGTTATTTCACAAGTCAGTTGCAGTCTTTCCCTACTGGTATTTAAATAGTTCAACGTAAGCATTCTTTATTTCTGCCTTGGCATGTAAAACACTTTGGATAATTGTGCACAAATATGCAATTTGAAAATTAGTTGCCACCTCTTTATTCACATCAGTGTATCAACAGTGATTCTTGATGTGATGTCTCCTGTTTTGTTTTTGTGTGCCATGTTGTTTTTTAAATCTCAAACCGTGTATGTTTTGTCTCTTATTCTCACTGATGTGGATAACGTGACCTCCTTAACAAATCACAGTATTCCACAGTCTCATTGCCAGAATTGTAAGAGCAGCATCCCACAAAGACTGGCACCAGACTGAGACAGTTTACAAGACTCAGTAACTGGTGGAATAATTTAATACATTTTTTAAAAGAGTATTTGTCTGCAATTACACACTGAATTTGTTGCATACTGCATACATACTGGTTCAGTCCAGTATGATTGCGGTCACTCTCCCTCACGTTTGCGCATGTCAAGCAAAAACAGGCCTTTCCCTAATAATCATAGCTGAGACCAAAGCATTTATATGAGGAACATGTGAAGTCATATTTTAGCATAGTCGTAGGTTGCTGCATTAAAACAGTTTTTTTTTTTTGTGCCACATTCTCTCTTTTAGCTTTAGGCAACTTTTTATTTCTCATCTCTCCTGAACAAATACGTTCTCATATGCAGTTTTCCTGGAAACAAGGACGCGATCTTTAGTTTGCAGTCAAGCACCATGCTGAGACAACAGGTGGATTTGATTTTTGAGTCAAATGCGAGAGAATAATCAAGGTCTTTTATGAGGGTTTGGCAGTGTTCATTTTTAAACGGTGAACTTTGTGAGGAACACTCAAACCGTCATCCCTCTTATATGACATGTTTGTGTTCGTGGTGTAATAACAAGCCTGTTTATAATTGACTCAAAATGTTGCATGCATGCGTTGCATTATCGCCACATGTTCGCTTTACCTTTGCTGTAACTTTTTATTTTTTTCTCGCTGTGTTTCCTAGAATCAGTGGATGGACGTGAAGGCAAAGTTGTGGCAGCAGACCCCACAGTGAAACATGCTACTCCAGTCAGTGCAGCCAGCATGTCTGCCTTCGACCCATTAAAAAACCAGGACGAGGTCAGCAAGAATGTCATCTCCGCTTTCGGCCTGAGCGAGGACCAGGCTCCAGGTAGTGCACATTATACAACCGCATAAGATGGAGTGTTCCTTTCATGTCATCGTGTGGCTGTAAAGTATTTATGCGACCCCTGAACGTCTGTTTCCATCTGAGCAGCTCCCCCAGCGGTCGCACCAGAGGAGCGTTCAGGAACCCCTGACAGCATTGCTTCCTCCTCATCTGCAGCACCTCAGCCAGGAGTGCCCCCCCAGCCACAGGCTCCCTATGCTGCAGTACAGCAGGGACCCCCAGCCGGCATGGATGGTGAGACACACACATCCACTGTACTAAAGAGTGTCTGTCTAAGAAAGTAAGCACGCTGGCATCGTGTCCTAATAAGCGCAGGGAGTCAGAGATCCTGCAGTGTGGTGGTTAAACAATTACACATTTTACAGCTACGCTTTTAAATGGGATGTTTTTCCATCGTTGCCACCAAAGCAGCTTTACTAAAATGTCACACTCTGGTGAGTCGGCCAGTTTGAAAGCTGATCCAAGATTGTTTGTATGAAAAATTAAAGTAAATGAAAGTTTATTTGTATCGCACCATTCTACATTAGATATCACATTGTAAGAATAAAAGATAAAATTCCTGGAAAACCACACAACTGCCACCTTATTAGGCACACTTTGATTAAAAAAAACAAATGAGATTTAAGATAACACACCTAACAATCCTACTGTCTCGTAATTTGTTGTTTCAGGAGTGATAAACTTTGATTCTCATATTGGAGGATGTTGTCTGTAGGGTTGTTTTTCCTTCAGTGTTGATATTTACAGTGAAGATGTTTGTGTTATTTAGCCTACTCTTATCAGTAAAAACAGGGAACGGAGAAAACACCCATGCAGCCGCTGCCTCGGTCACCACAGTCCTGCTCCTGAACCAATCACTCGTGTAATTAAGCAACACAAAAGCCTCTAAAGTAGGAATATTCCACCAACCCCTGCTCTGTTACCGTCGTGTCTTGTCGATTTAATTTCATTATTTGCTTTTATCGCTCAGCTGACTTTTCTTCCTCCTTTCATCCTGCCAGCGATCTGTAATATATTAGATTAGGTGGATGTTAATGGAGTAGAAGAAAACAGCTCAGATCTTAACAGAACAAATGGAGAGAAACTGAGAAAATTATGCCGCAAGTAATTCAAATTAAAAGAACAAATTGAGGGTATTGCACCGATGAAATGTACCGTGTCTTCATTTTGATTTACATTGACATATGTTTTCCATCTCCAAATTCACAGTTTGTAGTGTGAGCTCGTTTCCTTTTTTGGCAATCAGATCCAGTCTCTCGGTAACGCAGCAGGCTTCTTTGAAAGAGAAATGATCCTTGAGTTGCACCATGGTGTAATCTTAAACACAGCGTAAACAAGGCCGTCCACGGAATTAACATTTATCTCACTCAGAAGCTTTATCGCAGCTCTCCCTCGTGTACATTCTTTAACATCCACATGTTCGATTCCAAACCAAAGGTCTTAGATGAAGATAAATGAACAAAAGATGAGGCAGTATGTTGGAAAAACGATCCCAGACAGTGTCCACACAGGTTCAGCCACAGAGGTGAAGCATTTTGTGTTGTTTCCCACATCGCTGTGAGCGTGTTGGATTGTTTTTAACTTGTGGTTTGGCCCAGATTGATGCAGAGGCCACTGGAGCAAAGAAATACGCTTCATGTTGCACCCTGTGAGAGCTGTAATTTGCTCTCTGAGCAGTCGCACCGCTGACTCCTGAGCACACCTGCAGCACCGAGGAGCAGCCCACATGTTGTATGACTATTTCCATTTAACTGGTGGTTTGTGGTTTGGCCTGGTTGTGGCAGACCTATCAACAGGGCTTAGTAAATGTTTAGTTGGTCCAGGAGGAGGTTTTATTCACTCACTGGGTTATGAAGCGATACACCATGTTGCTCACAAACTAAACAGGAAAGCCATTCATGTTGTTTTCTCTAGTCAGTTAAGTAACTTGTTCTTACAGACTCTGCCTTGTTTTCGAGAACTTGATGTGGTGACGTAGGGATGCCATCGTGGAGGTCTTTGGACAATCAGTTCAAGCTGTGCATGAGTACCCAAATTGGCAGCCTAGCTTAGCGTGCTGCACGGAATGAGAGGGCAGGTTTTTTGTGTAGATTTTACTGCTTAGTAATGGTTCCAAGTTGCTGTATCAACATGATACTGTATTTCTGTTGATGGTTGCAGGCACATACCGTATCTGCTAGTCTGAAGCATAGTAGTATTACAAAATAACCAACAGTGTTATGAACCTACTGACAGATCTGATTAACCAAATGTACTGGACACACCTCTGGCCAAAGCAAGGTCTGTGATAGGATAGCGTGTCAGAACTAGTTAGCAAACAGGCAGAGAAGTTGTGATTGTCAAGAAAGATTGTTGATATTTAGCTCAATTGCATATTCAGATAGCATGGACATGATGAAGATGAAGTAGCGGTGGCTGTTATTTCAGCTTGTCAGACACAAATTTAATAAAAATTTAGTAATACATCACCTTGTATTATATACCCAAAACAGGCTACAGTGACGTCCACAGACAAAAAAGTGAAACGTTTACCTTGTGCCACTCCTGAAGGACGGTAAAAAACAGACTTCACTAAACTTGCGGAAAAAAAAGAGAGACAAGGCAACAACACTGTCAATCCTAGGATCACTGTGTTGTGTAAAAAAAGTTTTAGTAGAACTGTATTGTAATAATGTAAATAATGATTTTATAGAATAAATCATGCTAATTATCATTTAGTTAATTCTTGCTTCCAACAACAAACTTTGAACAAAACTGATGGTGTTGCTGCTGGGTATATCTGATGTGGCTCTGGAGGTACCTCATATAAAAACCTTCTAAACATGTCTAGGTCATGTACTGTATGCAGGTAGTTAGCGGTGTGCAGGACTTTGATTTAGTTGACAGTAACTGTGCCTAAGTTCATGAGGTTTTTCTTCTGTACCCAGCTGCACTTTGGCCTCTCTGTGCAGGAGACAAGAAACAGATCATTTCCCCACAGAGTAAAGAATCACTGTTACACACACTGTGTGAGATACCATCCTGCAGTCTTGTCGCAGATTCTTAGATTCATCTCCAAGATGGCAACAAACAGGCTTCTTATCCGTTCCTTAGAGTTTCCTTGTTTCTTTTCTTACGTCCAAGGCTGCAGATGGTTGGCACACAAATACAGTAAACTGGATCCTGTGCCGTCTCCTCTCCCAGTCGACCCTTTCCTCACTCTCTGACCTCAGATTATTCTCATCTCTGGTTGCAGAATGCTAGTATGACAGCATTAAGGCAAATCAGAACAGCCAGTCTTGGCATGAAAATATATAGAAGGTGAGATTAGACGCCAACTGAGCATGTGTGGCCTTTAAAAGGTAGCCTTAAGCACACTTTTAATGTAAGAGTAGGTTACCTGTTACCGTAAGAATGCTGCTAACAAGATCCATAAGCAGATGGTAAAGATTTCCCCGTGTTGCCTGATGCTGATGGACCCTTGGCAATAAATGTACATCTGTGCATGAAAGAAAGAAACCGTACACACATGCGTAGTAACAGCAGCTCAGACAGTTGCACGGAGCTCCATATCAGATGGGCAGACATGTGTTCGGTGAAAATGTTTATTTAAAATTAGAACGTTGTTCTCATGACTCCTTCTTAAGGCATGCGGAGAGGTCAGCAGGACTGCAGCCAAATGCTTTCTTATTCCAGTGAAAAGCTACCTGCTCGCTGTCTTCAGTCATATCTTTGTCCCTGATGACTGACCTCTTGGCTTACACTGCAGTGAAATGAACCCCAGGGCTAAAGAGGTCTAACAGCCACGCAACCTTCCATCTCTCTTACATAACACTCATGATGGATTACAGACACGGAGAACAGGAGAAGACGCCAATTTCACACACATGCCTCCTCAAACAATAAAGGCCATAATGTTCATGTTAAGGGAGATACCAGATGGTTGCCACATCACTTGAGCGTTTATAAAAAGACACCGAGGAGGTGCACTGTTCCTAGATGAGTATGTAGTTGTCAAGTGTCTCCCAGACCTGTGCAGACACTGTGAGAAGTTTTTGTCTGCCAGGACACTGGGCCCGAGCAGCTGAGACTATACAGTAAATCTATGTTCCAGCATTTCCTTGAGAACTGTAATAGTGTTTGTAGTGTGTTGAATTATGAAGAATTGGAGATTTTCAATAACATGTAGCTACATGGAGCGCGTTGAGGTCGACACATACAGAATAGTTTGATAAGAGTCTCCTTTAAAATTTTGCTTTGTCCTAAATTCTCGAAAACTATAATATCAGCTCTCCCAAAAGTCAGCACAAGTTTTTCCCAGCGCTTTGAAAACCAGCAATCCCTGATGCAGCCCTCTTTCATTACGCCTTCTCTCTTTGTGCTTTGCATGTGTTGTCAGCCCAATTATTATGCCATGCAGGAGATTTAAGGGTGAGATTTAGGCCTTGTTAGGGGGAACTATAGTTTTGCCAAGTCTTGCTGAATACTTTTAATGGAAGATTTCTTGAGGAAAACAACAAACTTTCTACATTTTTAAGGCAGACAAAGATGTGCAATGTTGGCACTGTTGAAGATTTATTCCTGTTTACTGGTCATACTACCCTAAAAGTGATGAACATGATGCTCCATGTTTTTTTGGAAATTCTTTAAGAATTACCATTTAGAGCACATAGCTGAGATGACTGGACTTGTGAACACGGTGGGGACTGTTCTCCATCTGTGCACGTAGGCAGCGTGGCCTGGTAAAGTCAAAGTTATTCAAAGTGCTGCAGGAAGTCACCGTCTGCAAACACAGACATGTCTGGTGGTGCACGACATCCTTGTTGTGATGCAGGAATATTACTTTTGTCTGCATGCCTATAGCATGTTTATGTCTGCTCAGGCATCCGCATGCTGCCGTGTCGCCCAAAGCCAAACCTTACTGTAATGCGCCAAAGAGATTACCTACAAACAGTTATATTAAAGAGGCTGCAGCTGTTATCATTCAAAGCAGTTATTCTACCCAGATGCACAGGTGTTTCCATGACGATACTGGCACCCCATTTACACTTAGTCTCACGTGTGTCTGGGGAGTATTAGACGCTATTGGATCTCAAAAAAGCCAAGTTTAAATGCAAACAAGAGACTTTCAAGATGTTGAAAATGTGTAAATAAACGCTTCCACCTCTCTGAGGCGCATCGATCATCTTTATTCCTCTCAAACGCGACTACGTCAGTGAGAGGCCTGCGGAGGTAGCCTGCTGATAACGGCGGTTAAAGTTACACGATTACGCTGAAATTAGCTGTCGAAAAGATGCTCCAGATGTTGTGGGGATTGTCTGATCTTGATCAGTGTAACTCCTGAATAATCTGTAAGGGCGAGGGAGCAGCGGGAGAGAGAGCCAGAGAAGACAATAAAACGTTTGTCTCGCCTGTAGTGAATAATATTCATGTGTATTGCTATATGATTTATGTATATGCTAGTGTTAATTAAGAACTGGCGCTAACTGTTTGGATCTGAGTGTTGATTGGCAATTCTGGAAATATCGACATTTTTTGCACCTTCTCAGTCTCTGCAGCGCCCCTTGTATTTATATACTGAACCTGTACGTTTGTTTACATACAACTGCGCCTCATATGTACATTTTGCTCCACTTAAGAAATTACAGCTTCGTAAATGTTCAGCAAAGTGCAGTATCCAGATGTGCAAACTGAGTTACTCTGTTTTTGTAGTGTTCCTAATCCACAAAATCAGCTATCCTTACAACAATAAGCTATATCATTGTTTTCACAGGTTACACTAGTGCATATTATTTACTATATTTTTGTTTGCATATTTTTTTACTGGACTTAAAGAAAATACACTGGAATGCAATGGAGAGGATTACTGCCTAATTTTGTTGCAAAGGTTGCAATGACAGTATAAAACAATTCTGTTCTAAATAGTTGTTAGCCAAACAGCTTCAATGCGCAAGTTCCTGTCAGTCCTGAAGGAGGACAGACCTCGATTTGTTTGTAGCCCTGAAAAATCAAGACGCTGTTAAACTGCATCTGGAATTTCTCTCTATACACGATACTCCTAAGTGTAAATGAGGATGGATGTAGTGAGTAGTGGCTCATATTGGTGTTAGTATCTAACTGTTGTGTACTGATGAGGTTTGTCCCTCCCTCTCCAGGTCAGGTGTACCAGCAGTACCAGGCTCCAGGTGGATACCCGCCTCAGCAGCCAGGCGCCCCACCGCAGCAGCAGTACGGTATGCAATACCCTGGTAAGAATAAAACTGATAAAAAAGAAAGAACAGGTAGCTGGTGTGTTATGACATGGATGTGTTTCATCTCTAGAGTGAATTGACGAGACTCCCTTCCTCTCTCAGCAGGATACAGTCCCCAGCCTGGAGCTCCTCAGCCCGGCCCTCCACAGCCGCCGCAACAGCAGCAGTTTCAGAACTACGCTCCTCCCTCCTCCCAGGCTCCGGCCCCTGGGCAGGCCCCAGCTCCAGGCTTCCAGGGTGGGCAGCAGCAGCCCCATCCATCTCAGGGAGCCCAGCAGTATCCACCAGGAGCCTTCCCTGCCCAAAACTATACCTCCCAGGCCTCCCAGCCTGCTAACTACAGCATGCCGCCCAGCTCCCAGCCCGCCTCAGGGTACCAGCCCCGCCCAGGATATACCCCGCCGCCAGGCAGCACTGTCACCCCTCCACCCGGAGCTGCTAACCCGTATGCCCGCAACCGCCCCCCTTACGGCCAGGGCTACACTCAGCCAGGCCCTGGATACCGGTAAAAGAGGATGTTACTGGTCCTCACGCACCCCTAAACCCCCTATCCTATATGTGGCTCCAACTGTTTGGAGTGGGTGCAGGTGACGGGTTTACTGCCCTGCATCCCCCCTCCCACCCCTCGTACAAATATCAAGTCCAAATATGAAACAAGCAACCCCCCCTTCAGTCTGATGGTTAGTGTTTGTACACTGTCTCTCCAACATACCACTCTGTTCTGGCCCTGGTGTTTGCTCCTTGTGTTATTTTTTTCCCCCTCTTTCTCCCGTCACCTCCACTGTCTGCTCCGCCCTCTTGTATCCGTCATTGTATGAAAATGTAACCAGTCTGTATGCACACACCTGGGAGACCAAAACAGGCTGTTGCACAAACTGTTTATTGTCCTTTCAATGGTAACGCTTCATTTTGCGAGAGATCGGCAACCATTCTGCATTTGCGACAAACATCTCTGCGTAGATGCTTTGATAGGACACTATCTCGATGAAAAGTTACCCCTTTGTCGTTTTTTTTTTTGTTTGTTTTTTTCTTTATTTGATCAATTTCACCACCATGTCGGTATTAATGATGTGTCGATGAAACTGCCCCATGTTGGGAACACTAGCTAAGTGATGGCTTATGGGAGGTGCACATCCCTATGTCATGAAGAAGGCTTCTTTTCTTTAGCTTCTTATATCACCTCCAGTAAAGCTTGCTATTCCTTTCTCTCTTTATCTTATCACTGGTTTTTACTAATATATCAAATTGAATTCCACCTTCAAGTGAGATTAGTTGTTTATGTATAAACTGTAACATTTTTTTTTTCTTGAACCTAATAAATGATTGAGACCCAGTTGGAGTCCCTAATCTTTTTGTTTTGATATTGCGTTTCTCTTGGCACCACGTTGTCTTGCTGTCTTTGCCTCAAAGCTCTCCCTCGCTGTGGTTTGTGAGTTCATGTCTCTGTTAAGTTTGGCTTGCCTCTTCCTCTTCTCCCCCACCCGGATTTGGAAAACTGTGGTAATGCTGGTATTCTTATTTTGTTTTCCTGCCTGTGGGTTGTGGTTGGCTGGGACATGTGGCAGGGGAGTATGTGGTTGGTCTTTCTTGTCAAACTGTCTTACAAAGTGAGAAGAACTGAGCACACAAGGTTATTAAAGATAATTTAGAAAAGAGTGTATAACAGTGTTCTCTACCTCGTCTGGGCCAAATTGAAATCACTCTTTAGATGTTTGTCCACAGTCGATGGTCTGTAATAACAACAGTTAGTATAATGTTGGGGATTTATTAAACTGGGTTCATGCATTCAGAGGTTGATGCATGCGTATTTGCTGACAACATTGCCGCTATTCACATTTATAGTCCAGCCCCTAAAAATTCACCAGATTTTTTTCTTTTTACAAAAATAAAACTTGGAAGCATTTCGTTGCTTGGACTACAGGGGAAATACTCCCACACAGAGACACAAATATGTCTCTACAGACAGGAAATAAAAGAAACCAATGTTTTAATCTTATTAGGAAGCAAGGGACTATTGGTTTATATATGGTTTACATCATTTTAATTGAGGTTTTGTGCTTTCAAACAAGCATAGTTTGTGAAATGATCCAGAATGTGACGATGCTGGTCAAAATACTGCAGTACCTTTGGAGAGTATAGTTACATCAAAGTAATTTTAAGGCAAAAAGAAATTTTATGGAAACAACTTATTAATATTTAACTGATACACAGAGATGAGATTTTAGGGGTTAACTCTGTAACTGGAGAGGGACTTTAAACAGTTGGTACTGTCGTGGGTCAGCTTTGTTAAAGGAGGAAACACAGCGAACCTGAGTTTCCAAAAGGCACAAAATCCACCGCCCCTCAGCACAGCTAAAACCCACTAACAAGTACCTCATTTGCTCTGTTTAAATAACAGTTGTCATTTTTACATAGTTTTATGAACTGGACTATTTCCTGGCAGGGACTAGTAACTTTCCTGGAGTCACCAGTGGTTGCCAGGAAACGACTGGTCCTACTAGGTGTAGCTAGCTGGGCACAAAACCCCTTTTTAAAATGGAGAATTGGGAATTTTTGTACACTTTGTACAAATAAATTAATAAGATACATATTACTTTGTGAGTTTTTGGGGTGCTGGCAGGCGGATTTTGTTGACAACAGCAGGCCAGATTCTGTCTGTCTGTCTGTCTGTCTGTCTGTCTGTCTGGTCTTTGTGCTAAGCTATATTACTCTCACACCTTTAAAAGGACAGCACAACAATCATCTTACCTTATGTACCTCACAACAAGAGAACGGTTTTAGCACAACTTAACTATTTTTTTCAATAACCATAAAAGCTACTAAAAATCAGCAAGTATTTAAACAAGATTTATTACTGAAAACATAAACAACATATCAAAAAACTGCCGTCATGAAAGATGTGAAAAAAATAATTATTTCCAATGACTCTTTGCTTAGTTAAGCTCAAAACCATAAGTTATTCTGCTTGTCCAATTCCCACATTGAATCTTGAGTCTTTTTTTTTTTTTTTCAAATATATATTTATTCTTTTTTGTAAAATACACAACAAGACTGCATGGGCATTAAAAATACAACAAACTTTGGCTTCCAAATGGCCCTATAGAAATGTTAGGCTCAACCTTTGGCTTTCTTACAACTGATGAACTATTTGGCTAAAGCTGTTTTGTCTTTTACCTGAAATGTATCAAACTATATGATCCCTGGTAAACGTATTGTTTTTCAAACCATATACATATATGAACAAAAGTTTAATACTGTGCAAACTGCAACTGCTAATACTCCCTTAGGGCCAGCAGAAGGTCAATTCTGCATGTCTGTGTGTACTCGTATTTTACACAGTCCAAATGTACAATGAACATATGATTGGCACCTTTCTGTATGCACATGACCAATGTGTGTGCTCACTGACATGCAAGTATTGGGAACATTTTTATACTTTCTCATCTCAAAAGCCCAAGAACACACAGAATATTCAATAACCTTGATAAATATTATCATACAAGTTATTACACTTTGGGAGCCAGCTTCCCAACATTTTCTCTGATTACTGTATATTCAACATTTTGGTTCACTCAAACTCCTGCTTTCGTCCGTCTGTTTGTGACGTTTTTGATAAATAGAGAAATTAAGTTGTTACAAATGTACTCGAGAGTTCTGTGACACCTAATAGTCCTGTAACGGTTCACACCCGGGAAAGGAGGGTGTGTTCAAACAGACAGAGCCATCTACAGTGTCCATGGTAACATAAAAGAAAGGCCCACCTCCCTTCAGGCCTACTCAGGCGTCTTTGATGCCCATCTTCTTCTTCAACACTGAGGAAGTCATCTTCCTGGACAGCCCTGTGGGGTTTCTACCACTTCCCAGGTATGGGCGTGCCACACTCGTACCAGCCTACATAAGTCACATGTGACTTCCCTCCTATCTCTCCGAAGCTTACAGGCTCCTGTCTCAGCGCTCTGTAGAAGCCTGACACAAAGACAGAGGACAGATGAGCATCTAAGAAAAAAACTCCAGATGAACATTTAACGGCTGTAAGCAAACCAAAATACCTGGCCTGCTCGGTAGCTGGTCAGCAAACATCTGGGTGCCGGTCCGGCCGTCGAGGAAGGAGTCCACAAACTGACAGTGGTCCTCACCGTGCCCCGTCTGATCGCCAATGTTGTAAAATTTCCCTACAGAGATGACATGAATTAATATTTAGGTAGTCAGACCAATCAAGCAAAGAGTTCTGAAGAACATAAAATTGGTCAGAAAATGGTCAAACCGCAGTCACTTTTCAAGATCAGTAATGCATTTTCACAGGTTTTTCTAGCAGATTTGTGTCCAGTGTTTTCTCTAATGCCATAGTATGTTTGAAGTACCTGCTAATGATAGTGATTGGATAAACAGGTTTATTAAAAAGGCTCATTCTATGACTAGTTTGACTCCACATTCATTACTAATCATCCCTTCTTTGCAGGATTGGAATTTGTAATTCACAGTTCTCTACCTAAAACACTAAAGAACTGACATTTTGCAGATAATGTTTTACAAGTGAGTTCTAAGTTACAGCTGGTCCCCACTTGCGTCACTCATTTCAGTGTGTAAATACCATTAAGCGAGTCGCTCAGGTAGATCTTGTATCTCAAGGAGTTGCACAGCTGGATGCCCACAAACTTTCGGTACCAAGTTCTCTTTACATACTGCTTCCCACTGCATTCAGAGTACGCGTCGGATTTAAATGGAAACTGAGTCCAGATGGCATCTTTGCCTGTGAGGGAATAATTTAAAGCGAGGATTTAATATACAGTTTTTGGCATGTATGAGCAGAATCTCCGCTTCTAAAGGTTCATGAAGGTTCATTCACAATAGCCGAAGCTGACTGAAACATTTTGATGAGAGGAAAATACTCACCTGAAACATACTCGCTCACTCGTGGATCAGCTATAATAGGAAGGAAAAGTTGAAATGAGTAACAACATCAAAACAATGCAAATTTAACACACAGTCGTGAGATGTCTTGAAATAAACTTGTATTAGAGCCTGTTTGGCATCGTATTTACAGTTTTCAACCAGAAAAGACTGGGCTTTGATTGCAAAAGGGCAGGAGGCCAATTAAGCAAAGCAGTCCCCTCTCAGTGTTGTCATTGTGAGGTAAAACATAACATCTGAATAAAACAGAGACATACTTCAGCCCCTTTAAGATTGGTACAAATTAAGCTCTGTTCAGAACACTCTGATCACCAGGTGGAGGACACGTTAGACAGGAGCCTCAGAGGATGTCTGGTAAGCTGACAAGGCCCTTGAGTGTTAATCAGTCAGACCTTGTTGCCATGTTGAAATCATTAGACTAGCAACTGCCTAATAGCCCACCTTCTGAGATTCAAAGCGACACTAATCGCTGCCTGATAAGTAACATTCAGGAATTAACGTGCAACTAATAAATCTCTTCCGTAAGTGCAAGCGCATCAGGGTTCGTAAAGGAGGCAGACAAGATGTAAAACTTGCCTGATTCTGTGCTAAAAGACACGGGGTCACTGGAGGGTCCGGTTCCCAGCTCATTCTTTGGGGTTACTTTGAATTCATAGCTGAAACAAAATAAATATTCAAAGCAGGAAATATGAGTTATATACAGAAAAAAAGTACATAAAAGGAACAATGCAAACTTTGAGATTCGATCTAAATTCCTCTGATCTCTAGAGCTGGGATGCATAATATTTTCATGCCTCTGACAACTAAATATGGGTTCACACACACACACACACACAGAGCTGATGGCTATTCCACGTGCTGCGTTCAGATGTGCTGGCAATAGTCGGAGCAGCTAACCCAGCCCAGGGGAGGGTTCTGCTGAGTCTTGAGACTCCAGATGCGGAGATCTAATTAAAATCTCAGTGACCCACTCCACCCAGATTTCCTCAGCTTTTGTGTCACTTTAGCCATTTTGTATGCGCAAAACCAAATGTGACTCACAGCGAGAGTTCGAGGGAATCTGAAGATGACTTTAAAAGACGCACACAAGAGTGCCATTTAATAGCCCTCTGTTGATTAGATCAACACTGAACCGTACTAATATAATAGCCATCAGTCCAAACACACAGACCAGAGGTTTATATGGACAAACCTGCTGGCTGTTCCCAAACAATACACAGTAAGAATCCCTGAGCGATGTCCAGTTTTCATACCTGCTCTCTGGCTTGAGATTTTCCACAGCTGTGTGTGTCTGGTTGGTCGTCAGTATAGACACCTCCTGTCCATTCGGTCCTTTAGTGGTAGATACGACTTCATACTCTGCCAAAGAAGGAAAGAAGTAGAAAAAGTCCCACAATGTTTTTAATAATACTTCTTCAGCTTTGAGAATTCATAATATAATTTTGAACTGTGAGATATTTTGATACAACGTGTGAGAACAGAATGTGTTTTGAGGCTAAGATGTGACATTTAAGCACCTTTGTCACAATTTACATGTTAGTCTTACAAATAGTGAGGAAACCGTTTATGTTTGATAGTTGCTAATATCAACAAGTTAATAGTTTGGATCAAATGTTGGTTCCTTTAGAGGGTAAGTGGTCACATGGCACACCCAGAGAAAGGAGGGATCTTCTTGGTTAAAGCTGAGGTAGGCAATATTCTTTTGGCATCACTGGGCACAAATTCCATAGCAAACCTTCAGCATGATGCAATTCAAATGGTCTGAGAGGAAACTAGGCTCCTGCACCTCCTCTTGGCTCCGTTTTCAGGCTTTAGAAAATCTATGCCATGACTGAAGCGTTATTATTATTTTGTTCATCCCATTTATATAAATGAAGATATTCTAAATGACAGAAACATCTCTCTGTATGATAAACACAGTTAAACAGCACCAGGAAAAAATTTAAACTATATAACTGTGAAGTATATATTTGAATGAACGCATCTCTGTATGAGCTTTAAAAACCCCTGAATATTATAACCTTTATGAAGGGAGGATTCATTGCAGAACTGATGTATTAGAGTACATTAGTTTTAGTGTGGTGCCTCCTACAATGTGAACAGTTAAGGATGCCAAGATGCTGACAACTGAGTGTAAGTTGTTTATTATTAATCTATAGTCCCATTTATTGTTTTTATTAACTTTTGTATTCTATTGTCTTATGCTTTGTTATTTTTATATTATCTTTATTTTCTTGAGCGTATTGATGTAAAGCACTTTGTGTTGCACTAGGCTTGTGAACTATGGCACAGAAATAAAGTTAGTACAAAGTTATTATCGTTTTGCCACTCATAAAACATTTTTCCAAGAGATTTACTCACTAAAAAAAAAACTTAGCCAAACCAGACTTGCAAGCAAGGACTCCTAGCACCCCAACACCATTTGGCTTGAGGCTAAACAACCTACAACAACTGAAAAGCAGAGTTCCACTCAATAAAGCTTTAACGCCCTTTTCTGTCACTTTTTCTGTCCTTTTCATTTTGTTGCATTTTCGTTGCATTTCATTTGCATGCCTTGTACCTCTAGTTTCATTGTCTGATTTCTGCCAGTCTAAAATGACAAAGGATGGGCAGCCCTCCACAGTGACCACGGTGACGTTGGACGGCGGGATGCGAGGAGGACCAGTCACATTCTGATCGCCGCCTTCCTCATCAGGGAAGTAGGCAAGGGAGGAAGTGATGGAGCACGGCTCATCTGGCTTCTTATCTGTCTTGTAGATGACATGGGGAGCTGTGGACAGGAACAGTGAGAACTGGAGTTATTCATTCAAAATTTTTCATGTATTTCAGTTAGTCACATAGCTGTAAGATGCCAACGAGTGCTGCTTTTGGGACGACCACCCTGTGAGGAGAAAGGGTTTAAATTAGCAGTGGAGAAATTGAACTGATGAAGACTTACCTACAAAGCGCTTCTTGCCCATGATGTCTACCTCTGATGCCGGCAAGGGCCTGAATATAGAGGAGTTTTCATTTATGTCAAAACGGCTGCCTGAAAAGGAAACAACAGAGAGAAGTTGGGGTTAGTTTGATGTGCCAACAGTCCCTGGCGGCTCTCTCTGTCCTCATTTTTACAGCGCTGGCCCAGGGTCAACAACCAGCCAGCCCAGCACCTGCTCTGGCCTGCATTCAGACTCTGTCTGCGTCTTATTACTCAAATTCTTCTGCTTTCTTTCCTTTTCTTACTACTACACGCACCAGCAAACTGCTTTACCAACATAAACTTATTATCATCACGTGCATGTAATGACTGCAAGCCCACATGCTCTTACATTCTTGGAGGTACTTTTGTGTCCAATTATGAATTTAGATTGAAAGGTTGGGAAACAAAAAAAAAACCAACAAAAAAAAGCTGTATTGTTCATTACTGTTTACAGCCGGGGCCGAGGTGGTCGTCTGCTGTCGGCGCTCTTGTTTGGGTTTGGCTGTGACCAGAGGGAATGGCTTCAAGATGGACTCCTTGTCTCCTTGTTTCAGGTCCATGGGTTTATCTGAGGACAGAGAGCAGGAGGAGGAGAGATCAGTTCTTCTCCCTCATCATCTGACTCACAGTCATACACAGTTGTGATCCATCTGCTCTGGCCATCCTTACTGAGCAACTCAGTGGCCTTTTCCTGGCTGAAGAAAAGATCAGATTGCTTGATGAGTAATATCTCTTGGTCTCAGCAGATGTATTCTGGCAGCCCTCTATCCCCTTTAAAGAGCACAAGGATGCCCAGATGCACTCACACAAACTTGCTCTGTGCACACAAGCGCACTTAGGTGAAAGCGATGAGCAAAAACACAGGAAAGTCCAGAAAAACACTTTAGCAACAAGAAGCTGAAATGAGCTGCAAAGTTAAGATTGATGCTGCTTTGTGCATTGGTAAAAACACTGCACATTCCTTTGCAAGCTATTTTGAAAGACGTTTGTTATTTGCACAATACAGTTTAAGAAGGCGGGTCCCAAACTGTGAGGGACGTAAATGCATTGCAGCCGAGACTTAGTTGACCCTGTGGAAAAAAATGTGGATCGAATCTTAAGTTGAATACAAGATGGATGCATGTGGGACTAATAAATAAGAGTGCTTTCATGCTCGCAAAGCTATCAAGATTGAGCTTAGCAATCATCATTCAGATAACAAAACATGTAAAATACAGGATGGACAAATTCTTAACAGGGAAGAAAAGGAAAGCAGCATGTATCACTGAAGCAGACAAGCTTTGGGTCCTTCGTGTCTTCAAACTCTGGCAGTTTGGATAAAGTTTAAAGGAATAGTTTGATGTCTTCGGAAATACACTTGTTCACCTTTTTGCTGACAGTTGGATGAAAGGAAGGAATATTACTCATGTCTGTACGCTAAATAATAACAATACCTCCCAACAGGAAGATTAGAGTTAATTTCCTAAAGTGTCAAAGTATTCCTTAAACTTGCATTTCATTACATTCTTCTGATGTAATGGAAAAGGAAAGGAAGAATTAAAGGAGCATTTTTAAGAAATGTTTGAAAACCACTGGCTTAAAAATCAGTTTAAATAAAGTCTTCCCCAGTACACAGGACAAGGTGCAGTACTGTTCAGTGGTCTGTACATCCATCACTGTTGCCCTCACCTAGGTCACTAGGTTTCCCCACCAGGTTGGGTCTCTTGTTTCCAGGAACAGGGGGACGCAGAACTGCAGGGAATCGTTAAAAACAAGAGCGCATTTAGATTTAAATTACAAGTGAAACAGAGTAACAGGTGGTCGGCACTGGAGAAGAGACACAAAACTGAAAACAAGTGTTGATGATTAATTTAATAGTGCAATAATGATGAAAGAATGTCAAGTTTAGGGTTCAAAAACAGGGAGACATTTAGCAGGGCAGAAACACTCTAGTGTACAAACACAAGCGTAATAAAAGCAACAATAAAGCAGCCAGATTGCATGTGAAATGTGCCTTTGTGTGAGATTACTGACTCCCTTCTATGAAAAAAAATGTTTTGGATCTCATACTGTTTGAACAGCAAATGTTCCGCAGAATCCCTGCGCCACAAAAAATACAATAAAACAACAGCCAACCAAGCTATGAGATGAAGACCACATTATTTTCACTTTGACTGCTTAAATGAACACATGGAATTAGCTGGATTTAGTGTACTGGATAAGTAATCACAACGAAGTGCAAGGTTTTGTAATAAAAACACCTCAGCTACAGACGGTCAGATTTCTTAACATGAGGGTTCTGCCATGATTTAATGTTGTTAAACAAACAAAATAATCTGAAAATTGGTGTTGTGATATCTTAGAAGAGGTGGAGAAGCTCAGCAAGATACAACACAGGAAATTTTCTTTACGTCTTTTACATCTGAGAGGGTTTTTTTGGGGAGAAAATGCGTTTTTAAAAGTAGGATTAATTTCCAGAGCATCCACTCCTTTTGCCATTTGTCATTTCTTATCTTGGAGATTCATTAATGATCATTCTGTCGACAGAATACAGTAATCGTCCATGTGTCGAGGCCAAAACACATTTGTCTCGTTTCCTCCTCTCTGGAGCTCACCTAAGAGATCTCTGGCATTTACTACCAAGAGAAGAGAGTTGAGGATATCAAGACAAACTGAAACAACATCTGTCAATGAGTCTCACTGATTAACCCTAAGAATACGATTGAGGAGCGCTCTGACTCACATATGATTTAACCGAAGGCTAATGGCAAACATATGCTCACATGTAAGTCACACAATATGGTGACACGATAATTTAAATGCCAGTCATCAGATATACAAACATAAACCACAGGGGGATGAGGTATGAACAACTGACAACTCAAGACGAGTGATGTCATGGTTAACTGTGCAAGAAATGAGAACAGAGCCATCGAGATGTAACGTGATCAGAGGAGACGTCAATAATCCCTATCCACAATATGTCTATGAAGTACATGATATGCTCTGTAGTTTCTACAGCAGGTGTGTTTGGTTTGCCGTCTCACAATAAACTCCCTCAGAGAGCAGGCCGAGCCTCTGATGTGCCAAAGGCCTCAGACTCAGACCAGTGATTTAAAACAGCAGCAGTGGTGTGAGTGTTGGTTTCTGTCAGATAGCTTCATCTTACGGGCGAGAATGTGAAAACATACGCAACCAAAACACAGAGATTTATGGTCAGTCCAGACAAATATTCCCACTGAAATACAGCGTCTCACAACATTGTGGCTGTTGCTTTTGCAACACACACTCAGATTTCATGGATGGGATTCATGCATGAACACCTGCATCCCATAGCTTGCTTTGAAACGGACTCAAGTTTATATGCCAGGATGAAACTGATTCCACAAAACTGTTTTGAACACACTCTAATTCTCAATTTCTGGAAACGCATACTCCGTACCAGCTCTTGTGCACTATACAAACTCACATAATGCTTGTTGGTATAAGCAGTACTAACATTTAGTTGCAAGCCATTTGCTTTAGGGAGGCAGGAAAGTGAACTGTATGTGCAGCTGACGTCTTTGTGAAAAGGAGCAGTCACAGGGAGTTTTGTGCTTGGATGTGCAGGGTGGCGGGCAAAACGACCATTCTTTTCTGTAGAGTTGCTTCCAGAGAGCCTTGCGACTCCTTGAAGACCTCTGAAACTGTCCAAGTTTCCAGAAATAACACACACCAGCTGTGACATGGGACTGAAGCACAATCTCTCTTCACAACTCCGAACAACAAGGAGTGAGCAGAGCGTCACCATTAATACATGTGGTCCAGACGTGGTTTGCATTACTACTTGAGATGGATTCAATTACTCTAATTAACTGAGCCTGCCTGGCAGAATGGAAACATGTGATTGACCCAAAAAAAGTAAAATGGGCAAACCACATTCACCTAAAAACTAAACTGTTCTCAAACTAATTCAAACCAGCTGATTACAGGTCCATATGTGCTGTAGACTAAATAATGTGGAGAGGACAGGTGTCTGCCAAAATTATAATTACATATGGCTTCAGTCTCAGTCAGTATAAGCTACTGGGGCTATACATATCAGACAACACAGACCAGACACATATGTCACACTGACAGACAGAATACACAGCATGAGAGGACTGTGACAAAAAGCACAAATCAGTGTGACTGTGTGGGACGGGACAAAACAGTGCCTCCTAGGTTAGTGAGTGAGGAACACTGAAAGATGATTGTCTTGGTTTATCTTTACCAGGTTTCTCTTTGGACCACACCACAGGTTTAGGAAGAGCATTGCCCCTATGATGCGCCCCACTGGCTGTTGGAGGGAGAGAAAGGTCTGTTATAAAATGTTTTATGTCACTGTGACAAACACACTAATACCAAATAAGAGGAAAGTCAGAAAGTAAAAACGCCTTTTGTCTTTCTTACTTCGCATTTTCTTACTATCCAGTGTCAGTGACAATGAAGGTGGAGACTTGTGTTTTCAGCCTGGTTTTAAAGATGTTCTGGATATGCAAAGTGGGTGTAATGACTTAGAAACATATCATTTTGGTCTTTTGACTTTTGCCCCTCTCTCCTGTGTAACCCTTTGGAGAGTGGGAGGGTGTGTGTGTTTGAAAGAGAGAAAGAAAGAGGTTGTGGCAGCTGTATTCTCTGCACAGTGCTTGGCTTGGCATGGCTGGTGTAAAATGTGGTGTGTCCTGGCCAGTGCTGTAGCCAGACTTCCCACCTGGCCAACACGAGGGACCGTAAATCATATTAACGACGCTGACTCCAGAGACACCACTGCTGCTCTTGGTAAAGGTGTGAAATACACACCGAGCACATGTGGCAGAGCGTGGAGAGCATATGTACTGTATGAAGGGGTGAAGCAGAAGAGAGCAAGAGAGGAAGAAAGGCACAAGTATTTGAATGTCTACTGTATGCATCCAACAGGGATCATAAAGCCAAATCAATAGCTTTATTTGTCTTCCTCTGTAGTTGTAGATGCACGGCTGCAGACAAGAGTGTGTAAGAGTTCACTAACAGAAGAGGATAACCTGAGGTCACTGCTTGTGAAAAGGGAATAATTGGATGGGAAGTGAGTACTCCATTACCGCCAGGTGTGCTGGAGCTGTGAGGGGAGGTGACTGTCTTGGATGGAGAGAATGGTCTGACACCATGATTAGTGGAATGAGGAGGAACCCGGGTGCGAGACAGGGTGGTGTTTCTTCCTGCTGTAGGAACTGATGAGCTAATGGGAGAACGAGGGACCTCAGCAATGGATGGTCTGAGGATGCCAGTACCTAGATGAGCAGAAAGGCAATTGGTAGTTAGAGAAGATCCACGTCTGAGCTTGAGAGCTTTACCTAGATGGAATAAATGATAAAGCACATCAGTGAAAAGAAATGTAGGGAGGAGAGGACAATGGATGAAATGACAGAGAGCCATAAATGAGATCTGAAGCTAGCCAGACTGCTGTGGTTGTGAATGGGCAGGGGTGAGGCGAGTGTGCTGCGCTGAAAAATGAAGGCACACATGGAGACAGGGACAACGATGGGGTGGAGTTTGTAGGGTGGCAGGATGGAGATGGAGAAGCAGTGACATCATCCAATGGTTTGAAATACAACTGAAAGCACTGTGTTCCACGTGGCTTGACGACAGAGCAGAGATGGTAATGGGACAAACTTGTCATGGTGTTTACCATGATTGTAACTACCAGCTTTCTCTGTAGCCAGGGCAGGTCTTGGTAGAGGCTTGCCCTCTTCTGGTGGACTAGGAGCTGTATGAAAGAAAACTCACTATTTATCTGAGATAATATGTATATGAATAGTTTTGACTTTTAAAGGGGGCATACCCAACTCTTAATTTGCAAAGTCCAAAAGTATTGTTTGTTTCGAAAGCAAAGCAGTGACAAAAAGCATTTATTGTGATGATGTCCATATAGAATTAACGCTTACATGTCGACAATGCAGATGTCTAATTTGGCTTGAGACAACTCATCAAATAGACAAGAAGTGCAGAATCTAACACTGCCAAAAACCCAAAAGTCTGCCAACATTGATCTAGTTTTGGCAGAGATTTGCAATAAAAACACAATTTAAATGCATCAAAAATGTAATTATAAATGCCCCCTTTAAAATGTAATTTTAGATAAGGTCTTAATACTTAATTGTGGATTGCTGATGGCAAAAAGTAGGGTTTTTACCCGTAGGGACTGCCTGCCTTGGGGCAACCTTGGTGGGATCAGAGTAGGTCCTGGTCTGAGGCTGAAAATGAAGCCCAGGATGAGGGAGTGGTTGGGGCTTAGATGCAGTGTGTAGCTTAGGTAGAGGCTGAGATTGGGACTGGGCTTTTGGTGGAGGCTGTGGTTTGGAAATGGGTTGAGAATGAGGTACAAGTCGGGCTTGTGTCCTTCCTGGATGTTGTGATCGGTGCCGTGGATGAATCTTTGGCTCAGGATGTTGTTGGTTCCTAATTCTGGACCTTCTGTTGGTGGTTTCTGTTGGAGGTTTTGGATGCCCTCTGGGTTGAGGTTGTGACTGAGGTTTTTGCTGCTTTTTTTGGTGAGGTGGCAGTTGGGGCATGGGCTGGTTTTTGGATTGAGGTTGTGTTGTGGGCTTAGGTCTGGCAAAAATTATATTTGGTCTAGGTGTTTGTTTGGCTCTAGAGTGCTGCTTAGTGCTTAACTGAAGGAGTGGTTGTGGTGTCTTTGGTTGAGGTTGTGTTTGAGTCTGTCGCTGAATTGGAGATTGAGTCTGTCGCTGAATTGGAGATTGAGTCTGTGGTTGGGTGTAAGTCTTCGGCAGTATTTCTTGGGCATGAGGTTTATGCTGACGTGTTGGCTGATTGATTCTAGGTTGTGCCACAGGTGTGGGTTGGGCAGCTAGTTGAACCCGCGGCTGGGGCTGAGGCTTTAGCTGTGGTTGTGTTTGAGGTTGGGCCTGGTGTTTGGTCTTCAATGTTGGCTGAGGTTGTGGTGCAGACTGGAACTGTGGTGTGGTTTGATGATTTGATTGAGGATGTGACTTTGGCTGAGATTGTAAGCGAGAGTGTGTCTGCATTATAGGATGGGATGTCGCCTGGAGTTGTGGTTGGGTCTGGAGTTTTGGCTGGACTGTTTGGGGTTGTGGTTGGGTCTGGGGTATGGGCTGGGGTGTTGCTTTGGGTTGTGGTTGGGTCTGGAGTTTGGGCTGGGGTGTTGCTATGGGTTGTGGTTTAGTTTGGCCATGAGGTTTTGGCACAGGTTGAGCCTTTACTTGGGGCATCACTTGGGGTTGTTGGGGTTGGGATTTTGGCTGTAGTGGTGGTCGATAATATGGTTGGAGCCTGGACTTTGGTGGAGGCTGCGCATGAGGTTGGGACACAGGCTTTTGTCGTGGGTGCCCTCCCTGTTTGTCCACGTTTGCATTGGGTACTGGCACAGATGCCATAGTGGCAGTAATGGGTACTGAAGAATGGAGCTTGGGAGCTAATGGGGCCTCCAGGAAAGGAGGCAGGACAGATCTGTAGAGGTCTCCTCCTCCTGGGTTGTGTGAGAGAAAGAAAACATGGCCATGAAGCCACAATCCTGTACTGTTTCATTTCATTTCAAATATAACTGTCTGTAAGAAAGACTGATTTATTAAATTAAATAAAGCAAAATGATTTTTTTTTTGTTTGTTTTTTTTGTTTGTTTTTTTATGATCCAGAAAATGATCAAAGAAAGACACTGTGGGAACAGCAGAAATTTAAAACAGTCTAAGTACCAACAGTTACTGGCCTGAAAACTGCAAGAGCAAATGTTAGACTGAAGCCCAGGCTACACAATAACATCTACCTGGCTTTAGACTGATAGAGCAGGTCCAATTTCAAAGGCAGACAGACCATATGGAGGTATTTGCAATGTAACAACCGTGTTACTACAGACAGATTCGGCTTCTATGGCCAGGATGCCTGTGAATGACAGCCGTCCAAATCCATTGGCTGTACCTCCAGGAGGCTTTGACACATGAGAGTTTATGGTTGCTGATTGATCGTCTGCTGTGAGATTTTGATGTACCATTCTAATTTGGCAGTTCAATCTGATCAGATGTTCATCTCTGAGAGAGTCACAAAGAAAAAAAGAGAGGAAGTCAGAAAATAAGCGAGAAAAGACAACGGAAGAAAGCAATCAGTGGAGAAAATGGAATCCAGTCAATTTCATGGTCATGTAATGTCTAAAATGCCCTAGTTCAGGGGTTTTGTTCACTAATTTTAACTGAATTAGGCGTCATCCAATCATAAACAGAGATTTATGCAGTCCTGCATTTGGGCAAACGGTTTCTTTTAAGTGATACATGTGAGAGATGGGGGCACAATAGAGTACAGGTATATGAAAAGGAGATAAGAGAGATTCTGCTGAAGTTCCTGTTGGGGAGAGAGAAATGTCTGTTCATGCAGTCTTGTCAAGCAGATATCATACAATCAACTGTGCTGCATTGAAAGCAAAAGCCTCAGATTTTTAATGAGCGAAAATTGTATTAAATGATCAAACCGTAAATACTGAAATAAAAATAGATCATAACTAGCAAAAACATCAGCGACAGAGGAAAATTAAGAACTACAGTAGGTCTGATTGAGATACGACTGGAGAGGTATGATTTCAGTTGCAATACATTGTTCGAATAAAAAGAACTTATTGACACTTTCGGAGCTTGCTAAAAGCCATTGCTATCTCTGGGACTGACTCTTTACAAAACTTTTTATTGGCAGGCTTGTCAATATGATTTTAGATTTAAGTCATAACTTCTCAGTTCAACATAATGTTATTTATATAGTGCCAATAGTAAGTGTATGTCTCAGGAGGCTTTACAGATTTCAGAGCCTTTAGCCCTTAGAAAAAACACTAAGCAGAAACCAGCTCACAAGAGGGGAAGCAGATCAGATCATACACGTATCAAGACAACCTGCAAAATACTAGATAATGTCCTGCAAATCTATCCTAACTCCTACAAGCTTTGTTTTGTTTTGTTTGTTTTTTTTGCTATCATGCCATGCAGCTAAGGTCACCTACCTTACCCGCATTACAACTTAAACCGCTGGCAGGATCCACAGGGAGGGTCTACTGTACTCACTCAGAGCATGCCACTTTTGCCCATGCAGCTAATAAAAAAGGACAATGTAAAGCACTGACAGCCTCTCAATTACAGTCCGCCAAATCTATCAATAAACACAGCCGCAGTGAGAGCCATGAAGCTTTTCCAAAAAGATTCGCTGTTTACCGATTGGCTGTTTGTTGACCACAGGAAGTGTGGGTCCGGGGGTCGACAGAGATGCCTGTCTAGTAGTTGTGGTTGGAGCTGAGAAATATAGTGTAGGTTAGTAGACCTGAGAGAAAAGTTATTACTGTATGTCCTGTAGAAAGTATACAATTCAATGATGTATGCAAACAATGTGTTTTCCTGCAGGATAGTAAAAGAGAAGTCAGGTACAATGATCAGACATGGGGTTCAGAGTTCCTTCTGACCTCTGAACTCAGTTTTATGTCAGAAAGGTCATTACCAAGAGTTGTCTGTGGTGCTATGTTCCTGGAGAGGGGCTGTCTGCCCCGGGTCCTGTTATGGAGAACTGACAAGGACAGAGGAGAGATTAAAGTCAAGGAGTCAAAACTTAGGATGCCTTCAGAGTCCTGGAAAAAAAAAAAAGGAGTTACGTAAAGCAACTATGCTTCTACACAGCAAATGTATATTGGAGGAACACATTACACCCGTTTATTGTGTTCATTAACCACATTTTTAGTGATGAGGTCCAATATCCATGTAGTCCTACGATATCTTAACCTGGTAAGTAAGATAAAGTTAGGTGAAGATTAGAAAACTACAAGCAGTTTAAACATGTAATAGCTGATTTTGGGTAACAAGAAATAAGTGGTGAATACCTTGATAAGATATTACCCCTCTGCCATATCACTATCCATCCTCATGTTAGCTCTGAGTTTTGGAAATATAAATAGTTTAAGCTGCTAATTGCTCCACTATGCTGCAGTGGGCATTTCAGTGAAAACCAGGTGTCTCCTAGAACCCAAAAAGATTACAGTAATAGTAAAGCATTACCTATAATAAGGTAATTGCAGAGTCTGTGGGTTCATCAATAGAACCAACCTTTATCACATCCACAGGCCTCTGAGGAATAACCAAAATTGACTATAGCTGCTTCTAAAGGTAGTACAAAAGGTAGTAAAAGTAGGCTGATTTCCATGGCAAAATGAACCTTTTCAGACCGGCCTGCAGTTACTGTGAATATACACAGTACTGGATGTTTAGATGCTTATATGTCACACAGTATCATCAAAAGGAGTGTCTGATCAGTCCTAAGTTCATTCTGCAGTATGGCAGTATGTCCTGAAATACATGGTATGGCCCCCACAGAGCCTTGATCAACAACAGTGAGTCAGTCTGAGATTAGATGAAGAAACAGAAGACACTGAGACGGTCCACAGAAGAACTGTGGCAAATGCTCCAAGATGCTTGGAACAGCCTACCTGCAAAGTACTGTTGAAAACTGCATTTTGTATTAAGTTAATCAACAAAAAATACAACTTATCAAAATATTTTTGAAGCTTTTGGACAGCCCTGCATATTATACACTCGTGTCACTAAAGTTATAGAGTGTAAACATAATACTTTGTGCAAAGCCTGATATGAGCACACAGTCTGAAAACAGATTTACTGCATTCGGTTTCTGCAATAAACCAGAAAAACAAAAACTTGGGATTTAAAAAAGTGAGACTGAATATGATGAGGTCCTACCTACAACACAATAAATCAAATCTCTAGTTAAAATTATTTTCAGTGCAAAGTCTTAAAGCAGGGGTCAGTGAAGAGGACTGAAACAGACATTTCTGAGCAGCAATAAATTACAATACATTATAAAACTTCTGCATCTGTATTAAATAGGGTTTAATGGGTTAGATCAAAAGCATTGTGTCTCTAGGGCTTACCGTGGTGAGGTGAAAAGGGGAAGGAATGGGGACCTGTTGTTAAGGGTTTCTGAAGGGCGAAAGACAAAAAGACAAGGAGAAGATATTAGTCTGTGTAATGATGAACAGGATCAGCATTTGCCCCTCGTGTCATCTCTTTCTCTGCCTCTTTCAGTGTGTGTTGCATAACTCATAGGCTCCGTACACCATGTCAAATTGGTAAAGTCCCTGCTGAAAAGCTTGTTATTCAAAGTTTCCCTGTGGAAGAGCAAATCTCACAGCTAAATCTCAACAGCTGTGATGTTTTATGAGGTCAGTTTCAGGGGCACATGAAAGAGCAGCCCCATACTGTCAGAAAATCGGTGCCACCTTTCTTCTCTCAGTTTATTTCAGCACTGTTCTCTCCTCCTTTGTCCTTCCAACTCATCTCCCTTTTTTCGATATTTTATTTCACTCCAACAGCTAGCTAGCTGCAGACTGCTCTCTTTGGCTTGGCCAGTCCTGGCTGCACTGATGCCGTTTCCATTCAGCAGTTGGATGGAAACTTAATGAGGCAAACAACCCTGAGAATAGCATAAGCTCACTAAAGTGTACAACGAAGACTCTATAGTGGATTGCCAGTTTCAAATACACACCCAGTTCTCCATTTTTGCTATTTGTTGAGGAGAGATTACATGTACAGTTTCCCTAGTGTCACTTGTTTATTACACTCCTTTCATTTAGCAAATTCTACATCTATTGGCACCCATATCCATACACTGATACAATTAAAAGGAGAATGTAACAAAATCTAGAAATCTTATGGTTATGTTTTGATAACAAATTGTGTGTATCCATTACATACCACAGGGCCGATGGGACGTTTAAAGATTTTCCTGATGGCTTTTTCTAAAAACACAAGAGAAAAAGAGCAAGGAAATTAGTTCAGTGGAACTAATGCAAAGTGAAAGTACTAAATATTACCACATTTCAAACATGCTTTGTTCAAGATGTGTTTCATCTTAGATGACTGGGTGAGTGCTCCTCAGTAATGCCTTAATTGCAGTAAACCACAAGACTGGTTTTGATTCAGACAGACTTCTCAGTATTTAAGAGTTTTTGTGATACTGCATATGCACATAATGTCGCCATAGTCCCACACAAGTGGTGAACACTTAGCATTTTTCTTTATCTATTTACATTATCTATGCATAACCTTTTACAGGCTATCAAACTAGCAAAACACAGCAACAAAATGAAGTGATAGTTTGGAACAAAGCATTGTTTGTTTGGTTTGTTTTTTAATTAAACACAGCAAATCAAAGTATTTTTGTCTACAGACAACCAGAAACCCTGACCTCAGGCTTTGTGCTTGAAGTTACCAGGTAGCAAGATGTGTGGTCCTTTTTCCCCCTAATTGTTAATCTGTGCTTTCATTTTGAAGGTGAAATGGCTAAATACCAAATTGAAGTACTTGATTTAGGTTTATTCTGCAGAACAGAAGCACACAAATGGAGTAATTTCCTTATCAATGAGATCCTGTAACTCTTCACTTCCTCAGAGCTGAATACTGTATATTATGCCATAGAGATGTATAAGAAGAACAAGAAATTGAATTTCTGGCCAGGTTTTAACATCCTCAGACCACTGGTGTTGCATTACCAATCCTGATAGCAGCAAGTAGCCACAGAAATGAATCAAACGTACCCTCTACACCTGGTGTGCTAATGTTGTGAATGACTGGCTTGCTCCATATTCCAGTGCCATCCTTAGAGTTAGGCTGGACCCCAAACTCATAGACCGTGTTTGGCTTCAGATGGTCAATGACCGTATCGCTTGTCGGGCAGGTCTGGTAGTTCCACTTCCTGTTCCTCTCACGATAACGCACCGTGTAGTGTCTGAACCCAAGAAAGAGCAGAAGAGAACATCAACAGTTAACCCTGCTTCTGTTAAGAATCAGATGTGAAAAAACAACCAGAAGTGCGAAAAGCAAAAAAGCATCTGGATCTGCTGATATTGAATTAATATGTCGTTCATGATCCAAGAGGGGTCAACAGTTCAGACTCTTCGAGTTTCGAGGCATTTTTTTGGACATTTACACTTAAATGTCACAATGAAATTGCTGCTGTTTTGTCTTTTTCAGTACAACAAAGGTATGCGAATGTTGACAATGTTCAAAAAAGCAAAAAAACAGAAAAGTGGCAAGTCACGTGGTACATGCAATAAACTGGTTCTATTTGTATCTGAAGAACCTTTTCTGTTCTTTGGGGGATTAGTTTTTTTCTATTAAACAGGACTGTTGGCACCAGACAACACTGTTTAAAAAGATGGATTTAATATCCCAAACCCTTTGACAATTCCTTGCCAACATGCCTTACGGTTTAATTTAATACATTGTTGTAGTACGAACTGCACTCTGCCCTTCTTCCCACCAAAGGACTAATGAATACTTGCTTCTACTCTTCATTCAAAGCACACATATGAAAACCATATTAAAACCAAAGGCAAGATTTGATCCAAATGACAGTGCATTTTTGTTTAGTTTTTTTTTTAAGTCGTTTTTCATCAAGTGGAATCTGTGTCACGTATGTGTCTCCTAAACACCTGTGTGCAAAGGCTGTCCTGGATTCACAGCTAAGTAACCTGAGAGACTTTAGGGAGTCATTTGCTGTTTATGCACTTATACCAGAGTATCTGTGTGTATGCAAGAGAAAGTCCTATTCCAACCATCTGTTTCTATGCTCACCGTGACTGCTGTGCAGCCAGGGTACAAGAAATGAAACGGCTGAAAAAGAAATCTCCATGTATTAGGTTGGTACGTGCATTACTGTACCAACCCTTTCCGTGTCTTTTCTCTGTGGCACACTTTTTTACTGTTGGAGGGGAATGTGCAAAGGCAGAAAGGGAGTGAGGTCAAAGGGACGAGTGTATGCCAGTGTTCTGGGATTAACATGAAAGTTAGTTACTGTGGTTTGTCCTGCATATTAACACCAGGTCAGCTGTAGCATCAGCTCTGTACAGCTTGCAGAGAAAGTTACAGTGCTTTAGGTGAGGCTGCTTCATCAATGTTGAAGAGCCCATATATTATGCACATGTACAGATTTATAATTTTATTTTTGGGGTCCTCTAGAATATGTTGATGTTCTAATGTTCCAAAACATTTTTAATATACTATACATTACTGCAGCACCTCCTCCCACCCTCTGTCTGAAATCCTCTGTTTTAGCTTCTGTTTCTTTAACGCTTCCTCCCGAAATGCCTGTCTGCTTTGATCGGTGAGTTGGGTCAACAAAAGCAAAGCAATGTTCATTACATATTGTAACTCTACGTCTATGAGTATGTGGAGACAGCCCTCGCAGGAATAGCTCCACTGAGGACACAACAGCAGTGAGAAAAGTGCTCATTCTTTGTTTGAGGGACTTCAATTGATGTGTTTCAGACACATAACAATGTTTTCTGTGGCAGAATAACTCCTTTTGAAGTGGGTTTTAGGCTTTATAGGTTTGCGGACCTTTAACATACACAAAAAAGCTACATAATACACAAAAGAAAAGGGAAAACCCAAATAAGCATAAAATGGGCTCTTTAACTTTGGTCTGCCTGTTTTAAAAGTTCTGTCATACATTTTCTGAGCGGGGCCTACCCACCTGCTTGGTACCATGTCAACTGAGTTTTTGAAAAGAAAGAATGTCTCAACTTACCCATCCTCGAGACAGTCATTCATGATGTTGCCTTCATAAGGGGTTTTAAGCAGCGTCCCCCAGGACAGAAGAACTGAGGTGGGAGTCACCGACCCAATGACCAAGTGTAAAGGCTTCTCCAGCTCCACTTTACCTAAAGACACATAGTTTAACTTGCAGTCTGCTCATATTTCGTGACTGAAAGTGATGATTATTTGTGAGCAAACATACCTGTGCAATGCTTTTTCACGTCGTTGGTTGGGATGGGCTGGACAGCTATAAGGTACTTGGGCTCAGCATCTAAAACCAAATGAACAAATCAGAGGTTAGCCCCACCTCTTTGCCTCCCCAAACAAACTCATCTCTTCCGGGAACGACCAAAATGTTTAAAATACAATTCAAATGTACATCGTAACAGTCTCATTTAACATTACCAGTCTTTCTTACCAAACTCAGTCTCATAAGGCTGTCCGTTCTCTGGCAGCTGAATGAACTGCTTGGAGAACATGCTGCTGCCGTAGCCCAGGATGTAGCCCTCAAGTTTGGTGTCAGCGTTGGGACGCAAAAACTTCATGACAATGGTGTCTCCTGTGGCATTGATGCGGACCTTCATGTTCTGACGTCTCACTGAGGAGACGGAAGAGACCATTGTTATTCTACTGTAGGTGTTCATGACAAAAGGAGCCTCTAGTAACAATAAACTGAGTTCACCTGTGGTTCTTCATCAAGTATGCAAGCCAAATGCGGCGAAAATATTTAGGGCTTACCACATATACAATATATCACAAAGGCTAAGATAAACCAACTCAGAAAATAAAATCTACAACCCTCAAACAAACTTCTTTTTTTCCATATTAGTCTTATTTTTAAAAGCAAAAAAAGCTTTTACAAAGTTACATAAATACTACAACCTACACGTTCCCAGACGCAATACTTCTGCTCTCCATCACCTCACACACACTTAAGCAGGGCACACAGTCAAAGCAGACTTGTTACTGTGTAAGTTCTTCTGAGGTGTAAGTCAAAAGCAGTGATTATATTAAGTGGCACACTTTTAAGAGAAGAACCTTATAATGCTTTATGTGCGCTTTCTAACTTGATAAGAACATTACTTTTATAGAGAATAACAAACTTCAAGGATCTGCCAATTACAAGAATCATAAACCTCAGCTTCTCTGATGTGGTTATGGCTGCAAGATATGTGTTTGTGTTCAGATGTAGCTTTTAAAATAGACATTGTAAATCAAAATCAGCGAGCATGTGTTGTTAAAACGTGAGTTCAGCAAGGCATCATCGAGCTTGTGCTCCCTTCCCTTTCTCACACATATTGACATCACTTTTCTGCTGTAAGTGACTTCTGCAGAATACAGTATTAATCAGCAGAGCCTGGGGACAGATGTTGGATGAGGACAGGCACCAAAGGGTGGGTCGCAATAAACCAAGAGAGGCTACAAATGAGCTTGTTTTTACTGGTCGAGGCAACCTCACAAAACTTGACTTAGTTTGAGCTCTTGGTCAGAGAGTCATTTGGCAAACAACTGGACAAAAACAGAAAGGAACACACTCAACAGAAGTGTATTGCTTTCTTTAAGTGACCACTTCAGAGCAGATGAGACATCTTTAACTAAACAAGAACCATATCTACAGTAAATACTGGTAACAGTGCTTATTAAAATAAGGCTCAAAGGCTCAAAAGGCTCACTGATGGCAAACGAGAGAAAGAAAATTCGTTTTTGAGAGTGTTTATGTTTATATTAGTGGGTTTTAGTGGTCTTTTTAATATTGCTCTGTGGTTCTTTAAATCTTTTTCTGTCTCTTTGAATTCTCTTTTTCTTAAAAGCACGTGTACAGTATAAATAAACTTGCCATGACTGATTCATGTTCGCAGCTCTGTTACTGATCAACAATATAATATCCCCTGGAGGTGGCAGAAAAATGAGGTATCAAATCTTTTCCACGGAGATTGTGACACACGGGTACATTGATAAACGAAACATAAGTAATGCAACTGCTATGTGTTGTTTTTACATATCTAATAATGCAATATTGTTTTCTTTTCTTTAGTTTATAGAGTTAAATTAATTTACTGGTGTTTTTGAAAGGTTTACGTTTGCTGCTGTCACTGTCAGTGCAAGGAGGGAAGGGAAAGACTCAGGACAATAACGGTGGATCTGTGTCCAAAACTCACTCATGATCAATAGCTGGGTGTTGGGCGACGCAAAAACTCCAAATATATTTACATATACTGTATATTAAGATAAAATTCAAACTGTGAGGATATTAGCTTTCACAGGAGGCACACAACCTGTTAACATTTTGCTGGAGACTGAATTTAAACATTATTCTCACTATACAAACTAGGTTTAACAGTATCTCTGCCAGATGAAGGGGAGCAAATTGAAAACAAACTGCAGACCTATGTCAACTGTTTTCATAATTGCATGTAGACAATCTGTAAATCCTGTAGCGACCAGAGAAGCAAATCTCCATTACTATGGGCTCAATATGTGGGAAAATGTTTTGTTTCTTGATTTCATGCCTCTGCCACGTGGCCTGTACATGAGCCAGTGACTGGGCATGCTAACAATCAGTCAGTTTATAACAAGGCGTGCTAATAAAACATCAAAAAACAGAGATGAGTACAGCTGGACTAGGAGTGTGACTTGTGACATTGATATTTGGCTGGTGCACAAGTAAAACAATGACCACACCAGTGCAGACTTGGATGATGAATGGTGAGCAGTAGTGATAGAAAGATTTAATCAATCACATTTAAATCCCCTTTGTTTCTATTGTTTTTGTTTTGAACTGGAAATTACAAATGAGTCTACAGGGGCTTAAACTTCTACTCTTCATAGTCTACAAGGCTTAAAACAATGGACGTCTTGCCTGGATTATGACTTGCATTATGCTCTCCACAGCACATGTCCTTGGCTAATATTTCAGCGCTAAATGAAATAGTGGAACTTTGCAGGAGGAAAACTGCCAGCAGCTGCTAGTCGCCAAAACAGACACTGACAGTGAAAGAGGGGGAAGCCCTGGATTTGAAAAATACCCTCATGCTTTTCCAGCTATGTGTTTCCTATCAAAACTGCATTTGTTTTGATTCTCTCATCAATATTTCCGATAAAGCACAAGAGAGATTGGCTCCAAGGGAGAGGGGCTCGGAGCGCATGAAACATTAGGAAACTTCTGGCAGCACGTTTTAAACTCCAGTACAAGCAAACACTGGCTCTGCCCCATGACAAGTCATCCAAAGCCCGGCCATTTGGCCCACGCACCTCTTAGGGACCATTAAGACTTATCAGCATTTCCAGAGCAAAATGAATTACGCTTTAGGAACAAATCCAGTCACAGTCCTGATAATCAATCACCTACATTTTAAGGGAAAACTATGGATATTTAGTTATCCAAAAGAAAACCTGCTAAAAGTATTGTTGTGAATGAAATGTGAGGAAAACAATGATCACATGAATTTAAAATCTTCCCGAGGCCAGTTCTGTTGGGTGTCTGACCCTGTCAAACACATGAAATCACTGGAGATTTACAACCTCACCAAACAAAATGTAACTGAAGTATAATTAAATCCACAATTTTACCCATAATAACCATGGATAATGGGGTCCACCAGGCAGAACCAGTGGGAAGTTCTTATTGGAAAGTCGCTCAAACAACAAAGACACATGAAACAGAACACAAAAGGAGACATAACACAACCAAGACGAGACATAATGCAACATGCAAATTGACCATAAAGAGATGCATTACAACCACAAAGAGAAGTTCTCTGCAGTATCATTTGTAACCATTTTGTCTCTTTCAATCTGAGGACCTCGTTATGCATGTCTACCCAGGGGCCCATTGTCTCATAATCGAGCTATGTTATTAACCAATCTATCACAGGGAAACATCAAGAGCTGCAAACATCAACTCAAAAACAAGAAAAAAGAATTCTACCATGCCATGAAACAGCCCACACTAAATCTGTATTGTAAAAAACTTCATGTGTGTTAGGGGGATTTGGTGCAAGAGTTTGGAGACTGCTTCGCAAATGTCAATCCAACTGATGGCTGGGGTTATTGTATATAATATAATGCAAATGTTACAGTGAAGACTAATCCTTTCAATTAAAACATATGTGCAACATGAGTGGTATATCTCCATATGGATCTCCAGAGAACACAGCCAGTTCATCATAGAATTCTGTATGAACAAATCAATCATAACATTGGGAGTCTGCCAATAAACTCGTCAGATTATGCAATAAACAATGCCACATCATTCAATAAACATTTCACCATTTCAGTCACTCTGATTTGGACTAATACCCAAAGAATGTAATCCTGCAGGCCAGAAAAAGAGAAACACCCTCACATGGGAAACTTAATCTTGGCTCAGTAGAGCGGCTATCTTGGATCAGCGGCAGTGATGGATGATCTTTCGGGAAAGGCAGTAGGTTAATGGGGTTGTCAGTATAACACGCTCCTCTTTACTTCAAATGCAACGCAACATGATATTTTTATGTGTTTGGTGCTTGAAAATAACTATTAAAGCGTGCATCTGTGTGGAATTGAGCACTTTTGGCTTTAAAATATTCTGATTTACTGCCTGACAATATCAAACCACAGATTTCCACCAATGACAGCTGCCTCATGGTTCAGATGAGGAGGGTTGCACTGGAGTAAATGCTCTGAGAATAAATAGACTGACATCATCACAGGACTTTTCCACTCATGCTGATGTGTGAACGAATGAACTACAAACACCCAAAGCAAAGCTTAAAAAAAAAAAAATGAAGTAAGGCTACAAGGCTTGTTTTGTTTTCGAAGCACGAGGTGGTAATTCAATAAATGTTGTGAAGGATTAATAGTAGTACGTGGAGTCTTTTTTTCCAGTTGTTTTCAAAACATGCAATGGAAAAGAACTTTTCCCCTCTTTGCTGAAATTAATTTAAAGGTTTTGGTAGATGGAAGTGATGCAGAACAATAAAGTGATGTCAGTTTGTCTTGACTTGGAACAACTAAACATCAACCTGGACCAAATGAAGTTATTATATTAGTGCAATATATTGATCTACTACCCTCAACTTGACACATCTATAGCTATAGGTGACCCTTTCTGCCAAATAGATTTTAAGCAGCTCTGGTGTGCAGTATTTTGGCCTCTCAGATTTCTGTCCTTAAAGCAAAGAGGTGGAGAGAAGACCTTGGCTTCCCTCCTCGCAGGGACAAAGACAGATGTTTTACGGTGCTTGGTATAATGGTCACCTTCATTTAAGGCAATGAAGTGTGAAAATCTCTCAGAGCCCCTTGCCAGCCAGAGTGGCGAGGGTTTGACATAATTTAGCTGGGGAGCGGACGACAGCTGAACTGACCTATATCAGCTCTAATGGGAATAACCTGAAACTAGTGTAACTCAGCCCACTGAATATCTACTGTAATCCTGCAGGAGCCTCTTGATCCCACCCTCCTCTGGAAGAATCGCATCCCTTGGGCTTACAGGAGGCCTCTTCTTGCAGCCCAATGGCAGAAAGTTTTGCCTGGGATTGTACTCCCACATTTTACTCCCACCTTGGCTGCTTCCATGCAGGTCTCTCTGCTCTCACACTATATATCCCCCCTGTCAGATTTGACGGAGCAACAGCTGTTTTCCCTTTTCCCTATGGCGCTGCTCCATCCCGTCCTTCACCTCCTTCACTCAATCTCTGACGTCCTATATGTGTCACCAGCCATCTTTCCATCAACCCGATCCTTTTTTAAACTTCCCAAAGTGCTTTGAATTCATCTGCCTTGTCCTCTAATCTTCTCTACTTTCCTCTCTCCTGCCATATTTCCCTCTCATTAATCTGTACATGACATGAGGCCATGTTTGGTCTGGAATAGCAGTAGTTTGCAGGCCATATATTGTCCTCTTTTATTTACCTTATTCAGACACAGATGGAGAAACTGTTAAAGAGAACACACATAAATGAGAATTAACAGCCTTGGAAAGTACAGATTACCTAACAGTACACTATGTGTTATGCTATAATATCACCTAAGAGAAGAAAGCAAACACAGTGTGGACCATAACGTGTTTCATCCTTGGTCCAAGAAGAACAGAGATACAGACATTTAACTCTCTTCCCAAAGCAAAAACGCACATTACTCCTTTCATCTGGCTGCCAAAGCTGCACACTGAGATTTGTATGAAAGCCAATATCATGCAGCAGGTTACGCACTGGAAGCAGTCTTTTCCACTGTGTTTACCTCCTTAAACTGATTCCAGTATATTCACCTCAGACCACTTTGCCTACCATCAAAGTCTTCAAAGGGCACCTAAGTTTAACCTAAAGAACAGAGCCATCTCTGACTCTCTACTACAAAGTACAGAGTCAGAGATGGAAAGCAGGCTTCATTGTGTATCTTTGTGTCTGTGTGTGGACTGATATACTAGTTGGATAATAAGACATTATGGAAAACGTTTGTGGAAATTTCTGTGTTTCCCAAGAATGCTGTGAAAATCAGAATCTTATTAAAGAGGGGGTTTCCTATGTTGCAGAAGAAAACAGTGCATGAGCCATAATGGGTTTGAGACCTCCAAAACCAGACATCTTTAAACTATTGATGAAACCCTCCGAATAACAACCTGGATTGTATTTATTTTGTTTTATTTTGTTTGTTAATATAAAGGCGCTGCTGCAATAATCTCCATATTCTTGGACATGTGTGGTTTTAACTGAGAGCAATAATATGTCTGTATCTGTGTTTAATTTTTTGAGCGTCTTTTCAGATGGTTTGTATAAAAATCCATTAATGAGTGCTGTGAGATGTTTAAAACAATAAAACAAATCTTTTGCCTCAGGCATTGTACGAAAGAAATAGGTCAGCTTTTAAACTCTTCACATGGTCTGCTTGGCTCCAGGAAAGTCATCCCATCAGTTCTACAAGTCTAATCCTTGACCCCAACCTGGAAACACTTTCATGAAAACCTGTAAGCAGTAAATGACCTCTCATTGTCTGCGAACCTCATTTCAGGGAAATGTGCATAAACCACAGGCATCGTAAAAAAAAAAAAATGCTCACACAGTTTCTAATCAAGGCAGTTTGAAAGCCTGACAGGGGATTCTCAACTCCTTTAGGGTTCAACAGCATTTTGCAGAATCAGAGGATGGTATCAAATTCACTTACTGAAAGTTAATCTTTTTAAATCCCTTACCTAATTTACTAAATTGCCTTGTTTGAGGGGAGGCCAACATGCTCCTGTTTTTTCACTCAATGCAGGGAGAAAAACACTTCAACAATTTTGTGTAACTAAATGTATGAATACCCAGAACTAATCTAAGAACGAAAACTCAAAGACTGACATTCAGCTACTGTCAAACATCTAGCCACACGGATTAAATATTTACCAGTCAGCTCCATATGAGACTTGAATGTTGGTTAATGCTGTTCAAAAAAAAACTTGGAACAGGGTCCCAAATGAAATCAGCATTTGGAATTAACTCTAATCAACTCCCTTGAGCCCCCAGTTTTACTATACTTGTGCTCTTGTGTACCACAGTTGAAGGGCAGAACTTTCTTCGTCTCCCGGACAGGAAACACAGGACAGAACTACATTAAAACCAAATGTGGTAATCAGGGTTTCATCTAGTAGTAACAGTCTCATGGCAGATAACAGAATCAAATACAGTAAGAAGAGAGCTGCCTGAGGAAGAGAACTGAGCTCAAAACATGGTGCCTTAATCTGCATATTTCAGCCACTTTTGGTAATGTTTTGCAGCTGTATTTTGGAGCTTTATGATGTTCGAAACAAGTAGTTTCAAATGCATCCATCACTCAAAATACTCTGCTGTAAATGGTTGTCTCAGTCTTGTTATAAAGTCCTTACTCTCGTGGTCTATCCTTGAAACAAGTATCCATCCTACTAACTATGACATATTGTCTTTCCAAGCCTGTCCCAGCATGCATTTGGCAGAAGGCAGAAAAAGAACATGGAGAAGCAATCAGTCCATCACAGCACTAAGACAGAAAGACAGTTACACTTATGTTCATTTGCATAGATTTTAAACCTTGGTGGGACACCTACGAGGAGAGAGGACCATGACAACAACGCATTTATGCATGTAACAAATGCTACACTTCATGTGATCAATAGTGTCATCTGATGTGGAGGTCTTAGTAGAAAACAACACAACTGTATTTATGACCTACCTCTGCTCCTGCGGGGAGTGGAGGGACCCGACAGGACAATCCCAGCGATGAAGACCATGAGCAGAAGGACCAGAAAGGTGTGCGAGTACCGCTGCCTCCTCATCATCATTACCATCATCATCTCTGTGTGTAGCTCTGAGTCTCAGGTGAAACAAGCAGCTGTGGTCTGTGAATGCTCAGCTGTGAATGAGCTCAGAGATCTTACAACAGGAGTGAGTCACAGAAAGAAATGCTGTTGCTGTCTTTGGACACAGGTTGAGTGAAGTGTGTGCTGCAGCTGAAGGAGTCAAGCTGAATGCTTCTTGAGTGGCTGGACTACTTCTCTGAGCTGGTGGCTCTCAGGACTAGTGCAGCTCACTGGACTGGACCTCTGGATGCAGCAGGCTGCTTCTGCACCATCTATACCTCTATAATAGAGGGAGGGGACAGAGAGCAAGACACACCCACTCTCCTCACCCTCCTCCATCTCGCCGTCTCCATCTCACACTCCGTTTCTCTAAAAAAAAAAGAAAAAAAGAAAAAAGAAAAAAAGAAAGTTTTCTTCAAGCTTCCCACCCTCTTTTTTCTTTTCTCTTTTTCTGCTCAGTGTGGTGTGTCCCTACCAATCCTGCTTTTAATCTGCAAAGGCCTTTTTCATTGTTCTCCTCATTTTCTTTGTTTCCTTCAAACTAAGAATGTTTACATTCTCACTAAGATTCCAGGTTTGATAATCCAAATATGATGGTTATACCAAAGCTGAGAATTTTGGTTGTCAATATTCATGAATTTAATATTAGTCAGATTTCTAATAATCTGTGCACCAACCCTGTCACCAGATGAAGAGTCAGTATCGAACAATGATGCAAAACCCTGAATTCCATTCATTTTCATTGTTATTTTCTTACTTAATGCAATTTTTTTAATTCTAATGTTCTGCAATGTCTGTCCATGTCAACTATGTTGTGGCTAAGGTTTGGAAAATGTAATGCCAAAAATATGTGAATAAATCATGTTTACGCAGCTCAAACACTTGATCACGGTTAGGGATCATAGTTACAGCAAATAAAAATGTGAGAATCCATAAAATAACCTCCAGCATAAACGCTGGACTTGTTACATGTGTCCATCAAACACACTGACTTCAAGACTTTCACACCTTGACTTTTCGCTATAAACGGAGTGTGACTGTTGACATCATGGAGGTGCAAAATTGTTCAATATGGATGTATATACATCAGCCACAACATCAAAACCACATGTCTGATATTGTGCAGGTCCTTGTGCTGCCAAAACAGCGCTGACCCGTCAAGGCATGGACTCTGGATGTGCCCTGTAGGATCAAACACGCAGACTTTAGCAGCAGATTCTTTAAGTCCTGTAAGTGGACAGATGTTACCTGTAAAAATCAGACTTGTTTTTTCAGCCTATCTAACAGATGCACAATCAGTTTACAGAACTTTCAGGGCCAAGTCAACACCATGAACTCTTTGTCATGTTCCTCAAACTACTCCTGAACAATCTTTGCAGTGTTGCAGGGAGTATTATCCTGTTAAAGAAGACCACTGCCAGCAGGGAATACCAATGCTTTAAAGAGGGATATGTGGTCTGCAACAATGTTGGGGTAGGTGCTACGTGTCAAAGAAACATCCATAAGAATGCCAGGACCCAAGGTTTCAAAGCAGAACTGGCTCCAGAGCATCACATTGCCTCCGCCAGCTCACCTTTTGAAATAGTGCATTGTGCTACCATCTCGTCCCCAGGTGCACAATGCATACACACAGCAATACTATTATAAAAGAAAACATGATTTATCAGCCCAGGCAAACGTCGCTCCATGGTCCCATTGTCATGCTCACATGCCCATTGCAGACACTTTCAGCACTGAACAGGAGTCAGCATGGGCACTCTGACTGGTCTACAGCTGCACAATGTCATACACGGCATGCTGCACTGCGCTGTGGCATCTGACACCCGTCAATCATGTTGAAATTACCAACAATTTGTGCTCGAGTAGCTCTCCTGTGGGATGGCACCATACGGGCCAGCATTCACATCCCTCATCTATAATGACCCTTGGGCATCCATGGACCTGTTGTGGGAACTACTTGTGGTAGGCACTGACCACTGCATACCAGAAACACCCCATAAGATCTGCCATCTTGGAGATGCTTTGACCCAGGAATCAAGCAGTCACAATTTGACCCTTGTTGAAGTCGCTCAGATCTTTACATTTATCTGTTGTTGCTGCTTCCAGCACATCAGCTCCAAGAACTGACTGTTGCCATTTTTTTAATATATCCCAACCATTTGAAAAGGGGAGATAATGTTATTCATTTCACCCGTCAATGTTTTTAATGGTTTTCATAGTTTAATACTAGTGCACAATTCACTGTTTTTTATGTTATGGCAAATAAGTGTAAGTGCTAGGTTATTGTTTGTGACTCCTTGACATCTCAACCACTTTCTCATTTCTGAACAGTCAGCTCAAAATTTAAGGATGAACTTACTTTGGCTTCTGTAGTTCACAGTTCTGCAGAATTTAAACTGCGTGTCAAATACAAATTCCTGTCATCTTTCTTGTGTGACAATTGTGCTATTGATGCTATCCTAATGTGGTAATGCTCTTTGACATGTTTTAAATCTATTACACACCAAATACTAAACTGAAGTCTGACTACAACAAATTATATTGCAAATCAAATAACAATATCTGCCAGAAACTTCGCAACTTGAAGATATTTTCCCAAAATTGTTCAGCCCTAATCCTGAATATGATTCAAACCAGACTATGAACTTAACAAGGACCAGTGTTCATGTAAAAATGACAGCTAACATCAGTAGAACTAAAGTAAAATTGCATAAACTTACACTGAAAAATACAAATTGTGCTTAAATGACATGATCAATCCCATCAGGTGCATTAGCACACGTCTTGGAGGCACTGTGTATCCAGAAACAACCTTGTAGTCACTCAACATTCGACCAACGCACACAAACACGTCTAACACGTGTTTGCTCTCAACTGACGGCATAAATTCCTGGACCCGGCTCAAAAGCTTCAGCCTGATCCTAACTTCAACCAAGTCTGACCCTGACATTAACTGTTAAACTAGGGACTACCGGCTTCTAGTCACAAAACAGCAGCAGGTCTCCACAACATGACTGCGCTTCCAGATCCGAGTCCCCACAATATCTTCTAAACACAGACACACACTTCAGTCTCTACAGCTTGAAGGGTTATTGGACCCGTCATAAAAGCAGTGTGTATCCAAAAAGTTATGAGTGTACGAAGTACGTCTGTCTTTATATTCCATGGAAACAATGTCTCTCATCATCCTATCTATAAATAAATTCTTTGCCAGTGTCTAAAAAAAAACATTAATATCACGTGCACCACAGACCAGCTGACGAAAAAAAAAAAAGTGCCTTTTGCAACCATGTGTCACACATTCAGACATGACTCTCTGGAGCATCACAAACACATGATGACAGCGTTGCATCAAGAGCTTTTCTTTGAAGTCAAACTGTTTACAGCCAGCGAGTGCAGTTTTTGCATTTGCTTGTGTGCAAATGTGTGTGTGTGTATGTGTGTGTGTGTGTATGTGTGTGTGTGTATGTTTCCGAGAGCCAGTTTTAATCGTGGTCAGCCAAGACTCTCAGCCAGAACTGGGCCTCAAGGATGAGAAGTGTGTGTGTTTGTGCAAAGCTTACACATGTCTGCTTGCACGTGCATGTACTGATGTGTGTGTGTATATGTGTGTGTGTGTGTGTGTGTCTATTTTAACATCTCCACCCTCCAATGCATTTCACTGTATCCCACATGTCATCACACGAGACAGGAAATGATGTTGCTCGCCAGAAGAGGTGTGTCTCCTGAGGAAGCCCCTGAACAGATTGCTGCGGTGGAACTCCGGCCTTCATCATGCCAGAACCCATCAAACACAGATGAATCATAAAACGCATCATAATATGATGACATGATATACGAATGGTAGCAAGTACAGAACGTATTATCTGGAAAATGTACAGAAAATACCCAAAGTTCTGGTTGCCGAAAAAAAAAAAGCTCCTTTGGCTGACATCCAGTATATTTTTTAAATTATTGGATTCCCAAAATTGGCACATCATTGTATAAGTACATTCACAGCTGGTCAGAATGGAGATAGTGGTAACTTGTTTATATGCATTTAAGTCATTTAGTCCATTTGTTTCCATCCAAGGGGTTGCGATAAATTTAAAGTAAGACCTAATGGATCAAGAATGACCAATCTAAACTCTGCTATATTTCCACCATTTTCTCCAATCATTGCCTTTTTATATAGATGCTAAATAATGTATGATATTTAGAGGGGAAACATGACAACACGTACCAAAGGTACACTGCTTCAGTCACAAGTAAATGAGTATGGGAACCACATGTTTAATACTGTATTTCATAACTTTGTTTTGGGTTTTTTGGAGGGGTTTCTTCTCAATTTTATTGTGGACTTTATCGCTTATATGTTTTCATTTTTTTGTTTGTTTTTACCTGTCTGTAACTATGAATAACCTTTGTGTATCATAAGCTGCTATATAAACAAACTTGTTTTCTTGCATCTGGATATATGTATATGTATATACATATATGTTTTTTGTTACGTTTACTAAACAATGCCCACTACATCTCACACTGCTACTATAAGAGATCTCCAATGGAACTTCATTATATTTTCATGTATGCTGATAATAAAGGCATCTTTAAACTGTTAACATCCATCCATCCATCCATCCATTATCTATACACCGCTTAATCCTCACTAGGGCCACGGGGGGGCTGGAATCTATCCCAGCTGACTTAGGGTGAAGACAGGGGACACCCTGGACAGGTCACCAGTCTATCACAGGGCTACACTCAGAGACAGACAACCAAGCACACTCACATTCACACCTACGGACAATTTAGAATTACTAATTGACCTCCTGTTTTTGGACTTGTGGGAGGAAGCTGGAGAACCCAGAGAGAACCCACGCTGCACGGGGAGGACATGCAAACTCCACGCAGAAAGATCCCAGTGCCCCCACTGGGATGCAAACCGGTGAGTTAGCCCAGTCTGTCAGCATGTAAAATGCTAATTTTTAAAGTCTAAAGTAATTACACCCATCAGACAAAAGTTGGGGTGTAAAAAAGCATAATAATAATTCCTACAAAAATTACCTCTATTTCATCTTTAATCCTTCACCTCACCTCCTCTTCTTCTTCCTCTTTTTCCCTCTCTCTTCTCTATAATTATCTTTTCCCAAAAAGAGGCCTCCTCCTTCTCCACCTCCCTCACCCTGTCACCTCTGCTGTCACTTTCCTGCAGCACCACAACCTCCTCTGTTCTTTTTCATCCAACTTTCTCTTCTTGTTGAAGGTACTCTGGTTT